GTATTTTTTCCCCAAACACCTATCATTTGCCAAAAAATGAAGATGCATTTCTGAAAACAACTGGCAGACATAAATTAAAAACAAAAAACAAAAAAACAGCTAACCAAGTTAAGGAAAAATACAAGAGTTGGGTGCTGGTGGCTCATGCCTATAATCCTAGCTACTCAGGAGGCTGAGATCTGAGGATCACGGTTCAAAGCCAGCCCGGGCAGGAAAGTTCATGAGACTCTTATCTCCAATAAACCACTCAGAAAACTAGAAGTGGCACTGTGGCTCAAGTGATAGAGTTCTAGACTTGAGCTGAAGCGCTGAGGGGCAGTGCCCAGAGTTCAAGCCTCACAACCGACAAGAAAAAAAAAATCAACCAAGAACAAACTTGAACTCTTTTTTTCCCAGTCCTGGGACTTGAACTCAGGGCCTGGGCATTGTCTCTGAGCTTTTTTTGCACAAGGCATGCACTTGAGCCATGGTGCCACTTCCGTTTTTTCTGTGTATGTGGTACTGAGAAATGGAACCCAGGGCTTCATGAATGCTAGGCAAGCCCTCTACCACTAAGCCACATTCTCAATCTACAAACTTGAACTCAGAAATAATGTAACATAGGAACCGTGGCAGTAAAGTCTGGTTGATTCGTGCTGTGCTGGACCTTGCATTGGTGAATTCCCCTACTCATGAAGGTTGATTTGCAGTCCCAAATCACACCTGTCACCCAGTACCACACGATACACAAGTGTGCTGGGTTCTTGCTCCCTGACATGACAGAAATATATGTCAGCAGCAGAAAGCACAGTTATAAAGAGTTTATTTAACAAAGGGAAAATAAAGGACGCTCAGAAGAGTGAGCAGGAGGACCTGGAAACAGTTGTCCACCTCCTGGTCCTGGGCAGTTACTTTAGGTGGCCCCTTCCCACCCCCACCCTCCTCTCCCCTCCTTTCAGGCAACCTGTCAGCTCGTGATTGGTGTGTTTGAAAGAGGCCAAACCCTCTCCTGGCTGGTGGCCTGAGATTGGTGGGTTTGGATTGAGACAAGGTAGAACCCAAGGCCCTCCCCTGCATGGTGGCTACCAGCTGGGGAGTGGACAAGCTGGCCTAACTGGTTCACTGATGTTTACCTTCAGTGCTTTCATGGCAGTTCATTATCCAGAAAGCATGTTCCCAGCTGGGGTGAAACAAATCCTCTGCCTTCCTTTCAGCTCTCACACTAAACCAGTGTCCCATCCCAAGTTCTCTGCACCGTTTTACTTTTGGTTTGTTCCTCTGTATCAAATGGCCCTAAAGCATAATGTTGACAGGCTGTGTAATGTTCCTAAGCAGGAGAATGCTGCAATATTCCTTAACAGAGAAAGTGTGTGTGTGCTAGCTTCCCCTCAGGCATGAGTTATAGTGCGGTTGGCTGAGTTCCATGTTAATAAACCAACAATATATTTCAAGTGTCTTTAAACAGAAGCATGCAACAATGACTACAGCAACAACAAAGGCTGTGTGCATTGCCTGGCTGATGAAAATGCTTGACCAGGAATCTCACATCTGATTTCCTCTGTGAGCAGCAGTTCAGTGTTTGCTGTTCAGTGCTTATGGTTATCTTTGTAACTACTGAAAATAAGGAGGAACTGAGAAGCGACTACGTGCTATGTCCTTTTCACACATAATCTCATTTTAATGCCCACATCATAGGTATTATGAGGAAATGGGGGTTATTTATGTTAGATGATGTGATTCAGAACTGACATACAGAAGTAGCAGGACTTGAACTGATGGGGGCTCTCATAGTGGGGTTGGTAGAAGGAAAGGGGGAGAAACAGCTTTACTTAAGAACAGTGTGCTTCTGAGAAAGTAGGAAGGAAGAACTAGATACAGCTCTCCAGATGATGTGGCCACTGGTCAGGTGACAGCTAACACACCAGGAAAGAGATAAATTACAATGGGAACAGAAGCCAGACATCAGGATGGAGAAGAGACTGGAAGTTAGCACATCAAGAGAACAGTGAAATAGTAATTGTTCAACCTGGAAGAAAAGAGAAGGATTTGTTTTTTAAACCAGTCCTGGGGCTTGAACTTAGCACCTGGGTACTATTCCTGGGCTTTTTTTTTTTGCTCAAGGTAGCACTTTACACTTGAGTCACAGCTCTACTTCTGCCTTTTTTTTTTTTTAAGTGCATGGGCTTTCCTGCTGGGGCTGGCTTTGAACCTCGATCCTCAGATTTCAACCTCCTGAGCAGCTAGGATTAAGGTACCCAGCAAGATGAAGAATCTTTAAGTGTCTGAAGAACTTTCTTGTGGATGAAAGGCGCAGTTGGAAAGCAGATCTCAAGCTGTAGATTTACAAGTACAGAGGCATAGACTCATTGGATGTAAGGCATAGTTCTTCTACAAACCAAGACTGGAAACTGGTTCACAGGGCATATCCAACTTCAGACACATTTCATTGGCTGTGTTGCTTTTGTCTTTAAATGCAGGTAAATGTCTTTCTGTGGGGCATGTGCTCATTTCCACAGCCTGCACTGCTCCCATGTAAGTCATGTGTAACTTGCCTTGTTTTTTTTTTTTTTGTGGTAGGTTGGCCAGATTTAGCAAATGTGAATGCAGGATATAATTACATTTGAATCCCAGGCAAACAATACTTCCTAAGTGTGTTCCCTGCAAAATTTAGGAGGTGCTCACACAAAATTTAGATTTATGACTCCATAATTGGGATTTTCTCATACTGTCCCGTACTTAAACTGGCAGTTCCATTCTGGCCGCTTTCAATGAGAGCCCTTGACATCGCATTTTGAGGAAGTCTATAGGATCCATTTTGGGGAGTTTTGAAAGGGGTGCTTAGTGGGAACAGGCTAAAATGTACCTTGACTGTCTTGTCTTGAGATCCTACATTTCAGAGCAACAAAACTGTAACATTAGAGGAATTTAACTCAGAACACTAACCTAGGTGCTGAGTGTGGTTGGTAGATGGGACACCAGCTTTTTCCTCTAACAGGAGAGCTGAGAGTAATGGAGAAGGACATAAATATGTTTTCTAATATTGTTGGCTAGTAAAAAAATCGCCTGCAAGTGAAAGCTCATTGGTGTGTCAGTAGCTAAAGCAGGAAATGAACTAAGAGGCACACAACACCCAAAAATGAGCGCTGTTTTTGTCAAAAGCCAGCTTCTGTTTCTCAGAGAGTGTGGTTCATCATTCTGATGTTTGGTTTCCTGTCCCGCTGAGTTTTTCCCCCCTGCTCTAGTTGTTTTGAACAGACTGTGACAGACTTCCAAGAAACATGGCAACGATGGACAGCAGAGAAGAGACGGCTACTAATTCTGTCCTTCTTCAAGAACAGCAGAATCTGTGATGAAACACCACCTCTAAAAACATGTTAGTAGGTCACAACTAGTCTTGGCGGGGGAGGGGAGTATCATTTCTGGTCCCCAGAGAATTAGAGTGTGTTTGATGGGTTGTTGTTTTGAAGAGGAGGAAATGGTAGCTTCACAGTAGGGTGAGGTGTAGAGAGGACAGCTGCACGTTAGCTCTCTAGCGGGTGAGCAAACAGCTCCTTATGCTTTCTCCTCAGCTCATCCCGAATCCCTGCCTTACTCTTCTCAGTGTCCCTCACTGGAAGCCCACAAATTGACAAAGAGCAAGGGAAACTGAAACAAAGAATAAAAGGGTTTGGGGGAGGTATTCAGTATACCTTGGGGTCCCTATAAAGGGAGTTTAGCAGTTCTCCTTTGTCTTGCTGGAGAAAAGATCCTATAAGACATGGCCTTGTCCAACTCTTTTTTTTTTTTTGTCTGTTGTGGGACCTGAACTCTGGGCCTGGGTGCTGTCCCTCAGCTCTTCAGCTCAAGGCTAGCGCTCTACCATTTGAGCCACAGCGCCACTTCTGGCTTTTTTTTTTCTGCTTATGTGGTGCTGAGGAATCGAACCCAGGGCCTCATGCATGCAAGGCAAGCACTCTACCATTGAGCCACCTTCCCAGCCTCGCACCAACTCTTTTAAAAGCAGATGCATTCAGCATCTTCCTAGGTTTACCCAAAATACAAGTGATGCTGTTTTCTTTATCATTCACTTCTTTATTGGAAGTAAATAGAGAAAGCTTCAGGGCTTACTTTAAAGGAAGCAAATGTGTGTAAGTTCCATCTCAGTGATTATAGCACAGGAACAAATTGTTGAGCATGCCCTTTCTTCTCACAGAGAACCTGACCTTACAGTTGGGAAGTGACTGGCACAGGACTTAGCATGAGGTGACTTGTTTTCAGTTATAACCCCATACACTGATTGCTCTCACTAGGCATTGCTCTCACCAGTTTCCTCAATGGGACCTCCAGGAAGGTGTGTTCTTCTGACCTTGTAAACATGTATGCTTACGCATACACTATGCACACAGATATCCCGCTAGGAGGTGTTCAATGAATGTGCTGGGAATCAAAACAAAAGAACGGTGGTCTTGAAAGCATAGCTATCCAGAAAAAAAAGAATCCTAGCACTTCCACTCACCAGCTGGTGAATTGGGGCAAGTTTTTGATTTCTGTAAGTTTCAGTTTCATGTTAAAAGTCACTTTAGGGGCTGGGAATGTGGCTTAGTGGTAGAGTGCTTGCCTAGCATGCATGAAGCCCTGGGTTCAATTCCTCAGTACCACAGACACAGAAAAAGCCAGAAGTGGCGCTGCGGCTCAAGTGGTAGAGTTCTAGCCTTGAGCGAAAGAAGCTAAGGACAGTGCCCAGGCCCAGATTTCAAGCCCCAGGGCTGAAAAAAAATTCAGTTAGCTACTTCTCTTACATGGTGGGTTTTTAAAGGGGACAGGGTAAGGGTAGGAGATAATGAGCCCCATTATTTTGTGCTTTTTTGGGGGGAGTAATACATCATAAAAACGAGCAGAATGGGTTTCTAATCTTTTAATGCAGTTATATTTCGCTTGACACAAAGATCTAGATTGGTAATTTGGTGAGTGCACTGGTGTATGACTATCTCCAGTAGTGGGTCCTACCTTGCTGGTTCCTAAAAAGCATTCAAGGCGACACATGATAAGTCAGCAGTGGGATGCATGCCAATTGTTTTATTTATGATGCCTACTTGAACCACAAGGCCAGCCAGCCTGGAGCCCTCAGGAAGAAATCTACAGCTCCATTCATGTCATTACTCAATAATGCGGCGGAAGGACTGGACAGCCGGGGAGGCTGCACCCCAGTCGATGGGCTTCCGGTACTCCTTCTTGTCCAGGAGGTACTGTCGGCCACGGTAGTTGGGTAGCTCGTAGAAAATCCAGACACCCTCCAGCACCTTAGAGGAGTGGATCTCACGCATGTGAAACTGCTCCATGACAGAAGGGCAGTCTTCCGTAGTTTCAAACATCTGGCCATTAAAATCCCCTTTCTCAAAAATCTGAATCTTATACTGGCCTCCGCTAGACTGAAAAACAAACACAACACACAGAAAGAAATAAACAGCCACCCTTATGGAAGTCACTGGTCCAGCACTCAGATAATAGCATGAACTGACCTAAGAAAGCAAGACAAGGGAAGTGGTCCCCAGACTTACCAGGTGAATAGCTCTACAGGAGCCCAGGCGGTCATTGAGGCCCATCCAGCGCTGGTATTCAGGGTACTCGCCCTGAGGTAAGATGTACAAGTGCCCTGCAAAGTTGGGCCTTTCGTACACAGCCCAGGTACCTCCTTCTACTCTAATGGAGTTGCAGCGACTTAGGTACGAGTGGAAATCGGAACAGTCGCAATCACAGTCATAGCGGCGGCCTTGAAAATTTTTATCTTCATAAAAAGTAATCTGAAGCACAGAGTAAAATAGAAGAACTTAGGTGTTTTGAGTGGCTTTATTTAGAGATAAAAGAGCTCATTGCCCGCTTCAGAAATTCATGTTCTCTTCAGTTTTGAAGACAAAAATACATAGTTCGACCTCACCTCAGAGCACTTGGTTTCTGGCAGACAACTTTAGTTGGTTACAATAGAAATGGTACTTTGTGAAGGTTTAAAATGTAAGCAAAACAAGAGGGCCAGTAGTTTCAGACACAAGCTCATAGTTTTCTCCTTTAATTCATAGAACTTTCTATGCTTACATTATCTTATAAACTATCCATTTATGTCTGTTCCTTCCACTCGACTCCTAACCGAATTTCTTCCAAGGTTAAGCCAGTTTAAGCTATGGCTCCTCTGTGCCTGTTTGATGAAGATGAGTAAGTTCCATATGCAAGACACTGTAGAACATGTACAGAGAGAAATAAAACTAGCTTCAGATATTTTTAGACAGACATACAGCATACACACATCAAAACATATTATGGTCAGGTGCCAGTGGCTCATGGCCATCATCTTAACTACCTGGGAGATTAAGATTTGAGGATTAGTGTTCAAAACTAGCCCTGGAGGAAAAAAAGCCAAAAAAGCAGAAAAAAAGCCAAGAGTTAAGGTGTGGCTCAAGTGGTAGAGCACTATCCTTGAGTGAAAAAGCGAACTATGAGCACAAGGCCCTGAGTTTGAGCCCAAGTGCTGGCGCACGCGCGCGCGCGCGCGCGCACACACACACACACACACACACACACACACACACACACACACACACACTGTTCTCCATTAATTTATAAACAGGGTCACTGTAAAACAAAATGGCACAGCAGATTGTTCTTTGCTTAAAATTCTTATGTGTCTACTGTAATACCTGAGGTAGGCCTCTGGTAGCACTGAAAAAAGTACAGAGCCTAAGCTGCAGTTTCCTATTTACCGAACAAAATGACCAGTAAACTGGAATCCCTGCCTACAAAAGCTTTTCAGGTTGAGATAGGAAAGAGTTTTGAGCAACTCCTAGTGATCCAAGCAATAGTTTCTGAAAACTACTGTGAGAAATGGACTACAGTTTTCCTTTGGGCTCAATAACTTCATAATCCCTTAGGTGAACCAGCTGAAACCACAGGTGTCTTGCTTGATGTGGCTAATTTCCTGGTGCTATGCCGCCACCTGGTGGCTCATTTTCTGTACTGACTTAAAAGGGCAAAAGCCCAAGAGCCGGGAAAGAACCCGGGCAGGTAGTCTTGTCTTAAGCTGAGGAGTAAAGGGTAGGCAGGTGTTTTCCAGAGATAGCCCAAAAGAATGAAAGAGGAAAAGAACAAGGCCCATTATATAAACAAGAGGTAGTTCATTCACTGCATGTGTCAAAGGAAAAAGCCACACACTGGGATTAGAATCCCCTAATGGGAGCTATGAGTTGGTGGGTTGATGCTTGGTAACAGATGGTTGTTAGGAACTGAGTGAGAGATTCAACCAAAAATAACTCCAGTGAGAAAAGGCAAATGGATTGGGAAGAGTGCTTGCTTCGCATGTATGAAACCCTGGGTTCAATTCCTGAGTACCACATAAACAGAAAAAGCCAGAAGTGGCACTGTGGCTTAAGTGATTGAGTGCTAGCCTTAAGCAAAAGAAGCTCAGGGACAGTAGTGCTCAGGCCTTGAGTTCAAGCCCCAGAACTGAAAAAAACAAAAACAACACACACACACACACACACACATACACACACACATACACAAATCAGTCAAAAGAAATATAGGATGTGATCACTAATTAGATGAAGAGAATCTTTTGTTAAAGAGAAGAAAATGATTCACAAAGGCACATCTCACTTTCTCACTTTTTCTTTTACCCTGGGTGGCTCTTCCTAGTTAATACTATTAACTGTTTTCTTTCTCTTAGTCTCCCATTCCCTCCCCAGTTCACTCAATTCTATTTCCTGTTCCCTAAAAGCTTTCCTTTTTCATTTCCCATCTACTAAGAAAATTAGCTATTTCATCTCCTCTTTGAATTTGTTTTTGCTTCTTTTTCAATTTTAGTATAGCAGTTAGATATACAGTACATGTTTGTGGCTGAAGGAAACAAAATTCCAGCATCACTTACCAGCTTTGTGATCATTTTCAAGACCAGTTAGTCATGTTTTGAGGTTTTGAGGGTTGAACACTTACTTAAGCTTAATCCTATTTGTGATTTTCTTCTTAGCAGTCCCCCGCCCCTCCATCCCCGAGCTGAGGACTGAACTCAGGGCCTTGCGTTCCTTCCACTGAGCTAAATCTGCAACCCCAATATTTGGATTTTTCTTGGTGGTACTGGGGTGAAATCAGGTTCTCCTTTTCACTTTTTAGTGTTTTTCTTGAGGGTTTTGTGTTTTGCCAAGGCTACAATCTCCTACCTTTGCCACTGGAGTGGCTGATATTACAGGCATGCATCACCATGCTTGGCTAGTTTTATATGTGATCCAACCGGCAAGTAGTTTTTTCTACAGCTATTAACAGATGAAGTGACTTACCTAGGTCACTAGCTAGTTACAATCTAGTGCAGCAAAGTAATAGACACACAAAGCTCCTGCTTGGTAATGTTGCTTATTTTTTGTTTATAGTCTTCCTACCTACAAAGCTGTTTTACATGGCAGCATTTACTCTTTCAGATTCTGAAAAGACTGTTCCAGAGCCGTGAGGCTTTTCTGTGACCTGTAAGGAGATCTTTAGGAAAATCAAGTAACATTTCTAAGAATAGTAATGTTCTAAATGCCATAATTTGTCCATTCAATTTGCCTCTGGGTTTTGACAAGAAGGAGGGGGAGGAGGAGGAGGAAGAGGAAGAGGAGGAGCAGGAGGAAGAGGAGGAGGAGGAGGAAGAGGAGGAAGGGAAGGAAAGGAAAGGGAAAGGAGAGGAGGAAGTAAGAAAGGAAGGGAAAGAAAAAAAGAAAAGTGTTTGCAGCCAGGTGGTGGTGGCTCACACCTGTAATCCTAGTTACTCTGGAGACAAAGATCTGAAGATCACAATTCAAAGCCAGCCCAGTCTCAAAAATCCTTACTCTCCAATTAACCACCAGAAAACTGGAAGCAGAGCTGTGGCTCAAGCTGTGATAGAGTGCTAGCCTTGAGCAAAAGCGCTCAGGGACCGCGCCCAGGCCTTGAGTTTAAGCCCACAAGCCACAAGGATTTGCAAGAGATATGTTATGGGAAACACAGTTATTATGTATTTTGCTTTACTATTTCTCATACTTAACAACCTTCTACACATTTGCCTGACTTCTACTAGTATCTGAGAAGAGATTCACATGGTGATTACCATGCTGTTTATCTTCCCAGCAGACCAGCCAAGGTTGAAACAAGTATTTATTGTTTTGCTATGGAGTAAATACTGAGCTCCAGGTGCAAGCTTCTCTTTCAATGAGAGCACTTTAAATCTCAACCAGAGACTGTTACTCTGGTACTCGATTTCTATTTGTAAAATAAACATGAAATCTACCCGCTCTATTGCAATTTGGGGAGATTCTGACCCTTGGGAGAAAAGAATATTTTTAAAAAAGGGTTAAAAAAATGTGTAGGGTTTCCTTGAAATCACTACACAATTCCTATTGTTTTCATGTTTGTAAAAAAAAAAATAGTTCCACAATCTAATATAGCAGGAAAAAAATGCCTTGTGAATCTCAGAGGGAAGAATGACATTTAATAAAATCCATTTCTTTTGCCAAGCCCATAATTCCTGAGTACATTGCTTCCAGACAATGGGAAAAGAAGAAACAATGTTAAAGAATAAGAATTTATCATCTCTTTTGGTTTGGCAAAGAAGCTATTTTATCTAATAAATGCACCCAGCTATGAGCTAGAGCACAGCATAACTACTCTGGAAATCTTTGACGCAGGCATACATGTGTGTGTGTGCCTGTGTGTGTGCCTGTGTGTGTGTGTGCGTGTGTATCTACATGAGGCTGTTATGGAACAGCCTTCCCTCAGGGAACATGGAACTCCCTTTAAGGACTTTAAATTGTTAGTGGGATTTGCACAAATGTTAGGGCACTAAAAGACACTGCCTTCCTCCCTCCCCAAACTTCCGGACTAATTCCGTAATTGGCGCTTAACAGGCACCTCCTAACCAATAATGCACTTGCAAGTACACAATGTTGCTTACATAGTTCTCTTGCCAAAGATGTTTAGTGTGAATCTAAACATGAGGAAATAATCAAATCTAGATGTGGGGCTTTCTATAAGACATCTGGCCTGATTTGGGGGAAAAAAAAAACAAACATAAATTGCTCAAAATAGAGAAGCCCTTCCTTCCCACAGCCCTTCCCACATGAATTTCCAACTCAGGAAATGGAAGTCAAATATTTTAGAGGTGATTTTGAGAAAGCCTAATAAGAATCACTGCCAGAATGAAGGAGGTGGAGGATTCAGTTTGCGTGACTCACCCCTCCTTTACTTTGGCCTTTTGGAACATCAATGGCTGAAGCTAAATTTCCCAAAACACAATTTTAATTGATTACTAAAAGCTCTCTATGTGATTATCATCAGCACATTCTACTCCTATAAAGATTCATTCAGTATTCACTGCTGGCAAAAATCATCATGATATTTATGTATTATTTACCTGTATGACATGGCATATGGTAGGAAATAGTAAGCATTTCGTAACCTTCTCTTCCAATCCTTGCCCTCTTGCCACTTTCGTACTCACCTCTAGGCAAGAAGCAAAAGCTTTTCTCCATACTCCTTTCAATGTCTCAGTAGGTAAAAAGTGGGCAGGCTAAAATTCAGTATGACTACTGACTTACCTTGGTTCCAGTTTTAGACATTTTTAGTGCATGGGTTGATATCCCCAGTGCTGAAGGAAATCCAGGAATAGCTAGAGTTAGAAGCACACAGACATTTATACTGGGCTGGTTTCAAATCAAACATTTGCTTGGTCATGAGAATAGGATCCAAAAATTGAGTCAGTCATTTAGAGTCTATTGACGGTTTCTAGAAAAACAATTGGGATTACAAAATAAAGGAGAGCTTCAGTAGCCTCTTTAATGCTTACCAAGCCCTGCTGTATTATAGACTTTGCTGAGTCAAGACACCAAAACCAGGTCAAAGTTTTAAAAATTAAAAACGAAAATTCTCTCTTCCTTGTGCCATTTTTGTTTTCAGCAAGCAACTTCTTTGAAATCCCTTAATGTCTTTCTTTTCTTCTTTTTTTTTTTTGTTAGTATCTTTAACAAGGTTGTAGAAGGTAAGTCCAAAGACTAATTTCTGGACAAAAGTGACATTGCTGGTAACAAATTATAGACAACCAAAGGCAATGGATGGTCTTGCGTTTGGAGGGAAATGTAACTACAAAAATCATTCTTGGAACAATTTAAAATTTTTAATATGGATAGTATTATAGAGGCTATTGTACAAATGTTTAACTTTTTTTTTTTTTTTTTGCCAGTCCTAGGATTTGAACTCTGGGCTTGGGTGCTGTCCTTTATCTCCTTTTACTCCAGGCTAGTGCTCTACTACTTGAGCCATAGTTCCACTTCTGGCTTTTTTTGTAATTAACTAGTCTCACAGATTTTCCTGCTCAGCTAGGATTAAAAGTACTGGCCACTGGCATCTCGCTAATGTTTAACTTTAAATTTAATCATCACGGTATGACTATGTAAGCGAATGTCTTTGTTTAGTGGGAAAACACATTTATGTATTTAGAATAACTAATATGTTTGCAATCTATTTTCCAACTATTCAGTAAAAAAAAAAAAAGTACTATATAAAAAGTAATAAAGTAGATGGAGAAAAATGTTTCCAACTGGTGAGTGAACACAAAGGGCATGCATGGATTCTCTTCAAGTTTGAATTATTTTTAAAACGTAAGTTGTAGCTGGGTGCCGGTGGCTCATGCCTATAATCCTAGTTACTCAGGAGACTGAGATCTGAGGATCTCAGTTCAAAGCCAGCCCAGGCAGGAAAGTCCATAATTTATTTCCAATAAACCACCAGAAAACTAGAAGTGGCGCTGTGTCTCAAGTGGTAGAGTGCTCGCCTTGAGCTGAAGAGCTGAGGGACAGTGCCCAAGCCCAGAGTTCAGACCCCACAACTGACAAAAAAAAATAAGAAAAAAAAAAGAGTTGTAATCCACAAGAACCATGCCACAGTACACAAGGAACTGACAGCTACAATGAGACTCAAAAAATGGCCCCATTTCTCTCTGCCCACAATATTACATTGGGACCTCTTCAGACAGCATTTTTTGGCCCTTAATATACCTCTTATTTTAGAAATGACAAAATACTTTATGGAAACTCAAAGACACAATAAATCATTGCCTCGGGCTGGGAAGGTGGCTCAGTGGTAGAGCGCTTGCCTTGCATGCATGAGGCCCTCGGTTCGATTCCTCAGCACCACATAAGCAGAAAAAGCCGAAAGTGGGGCTGAGGCTCAAGAGGTAGAGCGCTAGTCTACAGCTGAAGAGCTGAGGGGCAGGGCCCAGGCCCAGAGTTCAGGCTCCACAACTGACAAAAACAAAAAAAAATCATCACCTCCTTTAATTTTCTAGGTCAAGTATATTCTTCTTTAAAGTCCAACTTCCTCATCTTTCTGCTAACAAAGCTATCCAACAAATATTTTTATAATGAGACTCCAAAGGATGTATTATGGTCAGTTTAGAAAATGGCCACCATGCCTCAATATGGTTACTGAGAAGTAAATATTGTTAAATGCTTAGAATTCTGAATTTTAAAGAAAGTATCTGATTAATACTGTTAAGTCCATTAACAATATCTAAAACACATTTCTCTTACTCCAGGTTTTTTTGTTTTTGTTTGGTTTTTTGTTGGTCATGGGCCTGAACTCTTGGGCCTGGGCATTGTCCCTCAGCTCTTCAGCTCAAGGCTTGTGCTCTACCACTTGAGCCACAGTGCCATTTCCAGCTTTTTCTAGTTATGTGGTGCTGAGGAATTGAACCCAGGGCCTCATGCATGCAAGGCAAGCACTCTACCACTGAGATACCTTCCCAGCCCCTCAAGTGGTTTTTTAATTGATAATTTTAATGGGTAATTTTCTGCTTGCTTGAATTTTATCTTAAAAGTAAAAACTATGGAAGTTCAATGAGGATTAGCAAATATTCAGAAGATTTTTTTCCTTCAGAAATATATAAGCAGCCTTTCAAAAAGGCCAGATTCATATAAAAAATTTGAAATTATTTTCCTTTATCTTGAAGAATAGGGTTCTCCCAACCAAATGTCAACTTTACTTTGATATAATTTCACAGAATGATATTGGAAATCTTTTTTTATTAATTAAAAGTAAAGCTTTATCTTTTTAGTAAAAGGAGAAAATACTTTTTAGAGTTTATTGGAAATCTTAGGCAAACAAAAAATAAACATTTTTACATAATTTCACTAAGTTTCACACTTTACAATCTAAAATATCTTTGTATAAAAACTATCTCTGCTTCATTTATACATTAACAAACTATACTTTCCTTTCAATTACTTTTAAAAAGGAGTAGTAATTTCCTCTTAAATAGTTACAAAGAACTACAGAACTGTTTTTAACTCCAGAAAGGATGAAATCTTTTCACCATACAAATTAAAATATGAAATAAAATCTCTATCTTATCACTTAAATATTAACGTAGACATAGTAGGACTGCCTTCATCAACTTTTCCTTTTGGCATCACCGTTTTCTGATGTTCATTAAACAATATGTTTATATCAAAGTCAGAAGCTTAGGTAAATTTTAACCTCAGCAGTGACAAATGAGCATTGGATAGAAATGAAGTAAAGGTCTTAAATAAAAAGAAGAGCCCAAAGTCTTTTAGCAGCAAGAGTATCCAGGACCATTTTTGAAGAGGCAGCACTATCCTCTGCTTAGTCTCATGTTCAGAGTCCTGGAGATAACAAATGAAAAGCTAATATTAACAACAATTTTCTTTTTTTTTTTGGGTCCGGTCGTGGAGCCTGAACTCTGGGCCTGGGCGCTGTCCCTCAGCTCTTCAGCTCAAGGCTAGCGCTCTACCACTTGAGCCACAGCGCCACTTCCGGCTTTTTTCTTTTTGCTTATGTGGTGCTAAGGAATCAAACCCAGGGCCTCAGGAATGCGAGGCAAGCGCTCTACCACTGAACCACCTTCCCAGCCCGTCTGTGAGACTTTTAACTCACATTAACGAGCAAAAAACCAGAAGCATGTGGTAGAGTGCCAGACTTGAGCTGAATTAAAGCTCTAGTACAAAACAAAATCAAATGCTGAAAACTTATTCATAATAGCTGAAAAGTCGAAACAACCTTTATGCTGCCATAAAAAGGAACAAAGTACTGATTAATGTGACATGGACGAAGCTTGGAAACATTATGTCACAGGAAACTGGATTGGTGCCATTTATAGGCAGTGTCCAGAATATGCCAAAGTAGATTAATGGTAGTGAGGGTCTGGGGTAAGAGGAGACGCAGGGATGTGGAGAGACTGCCAATTACAATGGGCTTAATTTTTATTTGTGAGGACAATATTCCAGATTTGAAAATGATGATGGTTGCACAAAGCTGAGAGAGTACATTAAAAGTCACTGAATTCTTCAGTTTAGCAAGATGAGTTTTATGTTGTATGAACTGTACCTCACTAAAAATAAAGAGTAAGTTTTCCTGGATGCCCATCTTGTCTCATTCTTCAAAGACATACATTGTTCACATTTTTTAAAAAAATGTCTTTTCAGAAATTTTCCAGGCTAATAATTAGCTTGTTTGTAGAAATCCTACCCATGCCCACTTTTTTCAAACATACAACATTTAAATTTTTCCCAAGTTCTAGATCAATTCACTTTTGTATGTTTAGACTAACTTCATTCTTTTAAAGATAAATTCCATGACATGGATGAATAAGTTCATTGGCATCAAGCCCTTTTCTAAGCAGCATTTGAGATGTTTCCAGCCCATCGTTATTTCAAGCATGCTGCAGTGAGCAGCTTTTTAATGTAGATTTTTACAGGTTACAAATATTCAATTAGGAATAAATTTAGAGCAGTAGACGAGGACCATAATTAGTAACTTTTTGTTTTGGTTTTGGTTTTTTGGTGGTGGAGGTACTGGGATCTGAACTCAAGGTCGTATGCTTGCTAGGTAAGTGCTCTACCACTTGGGCCACTCCACTAGCCCACATACTACATTCTTGAAAAATGTTAGGGATTTTAAGTGTTCTCATCATAAAAATGGTAACTCTGTGAGATAATTATGTATTAATTATATATAATATATAAACTATATTAATTAGCTTTAGTCATTCCACAATGTGTATATATTTTTAAAAATTATATACAACCTGATAAATGAATTAACAGGACAAAAAATTAAATAGGTTTTTTGTTGTTGTTGTTCATTGTGAGGCTTGAACTCTGGGCCTCGGCACTGTCCCTGAACTTTTCAGCTCAAGTGCTCTCCTTCTTGAGCCACATGCCACTTCCGGTTTTCTGGTGGTTAACTGGAGATAGGAGTCTCATGGACTTTCCTGCCTGGGCTGGCTTTGAACCACAATCCTCAGCTCTCAGCTTCCCAATTAACTAGGATTACAGGCGTGAGCCACTGGCATCTGGCTTAAATAGGTTTTAAGATATGTGAGTTTATCTGCAAGTAATTTCAAGCAATAAAATTGCTAAGCAGTGTTTGTATTTTTAATTTTGATGTTGTCAAACCGCCCCCCAAAATGTCAAGAATTAAAAGGTTCTGGACTTGGGAGCATCTGGGCCTTTCAGATTAGGATGCTCAACTGGTAAAATTTATGTAAAATCTGAAACACTTCTTGTTTCAAGTATTTTAGTCAAGAGTTACTCCTCCCATAAGTTACGTTTCTTTATTTTTAAGTGAACATCCTTTCTCTATAATATTTTTCTATGAACTGCCTATTTGTGTCCTTTATTTTTCCATTGTTGGTCTTTTAAAATGCTTTACTGAGTTTCACAAAAAAGTAACACTATAAACATTTTTATTTTAAAATGCTACATATTTGGATTAAATAATTTCCTATAAATTTGTCTAAATTCATGTTCTCTTATAGGATAAATCTGTGACTGTGTTCTAGGGTTCAGTTGTCAGCTCTTCATTTGGATTAGTTTTGATATAGTTCTCACATGTGTGATTAACCACGATTGGCTAGTTTTATCAATTGGGTTGGAGGAGGATGGGACAAAGGAAAAGTATCTCAAAGAGAGAATAAAACTCAAAACTATGAGTAGAGACAAGTGGGATTGGTAGACAGCTGCGCCAAGCAAAGAACAAAAAAGCTAAAACTTGACTCTTATATTTGCTCAAAATTCTGTAGGCGCCCCTTGAATATTTTGGTTGGCTTCTGGTGGTAAACATGGATAAATATGCTGATGTGAATGGTGGAAAATTTTTTGAAGAGGTTCACCATGCTATGTGCTTAGTGGGGGGGGGGGGGGGGGGGGGCGGGGGGAGGGGGAGGGTATGCTTGGAAGATTTTACTCCAAAGAGTTTCTTTTAAAAGATCAAGTACTGTATTGTAAACGCCTACCTGAGATATGATGTCTGAGTTCTATCCTGCTGCTTGCTTGGAGCCTGCTGTAGGGGGTACAAGGCTGTCCAACTGTTGGCGATGTCCTGTATTAACCAACCATTCATAAAACTTGTTCTCCACAAGTATCTGGAACTGCTTCCTTTGCTCCCTAAAGTCGCAATTAAAAGTAAAAATATGAGAATCCTAATCCTAATAGAACAATACTCATAAAGACTTTTTAAAGGGGGGATTAGATAACTATGTCCTTTGTAAATACATACTATCAATTATTTATTGAGGATGGAATGCATATTGGGTACTATGCTGACAGAGGGCATACGTATAAAGAGACAGGGCAAGTCAAGCTACATGACTCTAGAGGGCACCATTTACATATTTAGTCTATGCCCCTGTGGACTGCAGAAAGATAGATAAGAAGGAAAATAAATTCATAGTCTTAAGTAGTTACTTATTGGAAAAAAAAAAAAGAGAGAGAGAGAAGGAACAGAGTACTAGGAATACTCTCTTAAGAAAAAGAAAGGCCTAAGATGATACCTGTACACAGGTCTGCCTAGAGCCATTAAGAAGAAGAAACAGAAATGATAAAGGCCCTAATAACATGTTTATTAGATTCAAGACAATAAAGAGAAGAACAGTGCCTGATAGCCAGCAGCCACCTTCTATCAGTTAGGTTCTTGCCTGCTGTGGTGTTGAACACCAACAATTCCACAGAGCACCAGCGTTAGACAGGCCACATTGCAATAATGACACACCAAAGCAAAGAGAACACTCTACAATTACCTTAATCTAGAAGAAAAATAAATATGGCTTAAGCCACAAAAATGACCAAACATCACCCTTTCCTTTTCTGATTGCTGCTTTACAATTATAACTTTAGTTCCACTTCATCTCCCCCTCCCTGCCTTACAAATAAAAAATATTAAGCTACCAATCATAAAATTGTTCTCAGTCTCAAATCGCATCTAATCCACAACAAAGCCATGCTTATTTGAATTCTCCCCCAAATCATAGAACATGAGCCAGAAGCCAATGGCAAGCTATTCTAAACCACTTTTGTGAAATAAAGCACAGTTCTCTTTCTCCTTTTCCTTTTATCAGATGGTATAGTACCAAAATGGCTTTGAATTCTTCTGCATTCACCTCTCAAGTGCTGGGATTACGGATGAGTCACCTCACGAGGTCCTCACTCTATATGTTACAACTAAGATCAAGAGAGGAAACATGACACATTCCAAGTGTTACATAGTTGGTGACATGGTAATACAAAGAATAACACCTTAAAATCTAATCCACCTAAGAGATCTAATAAAAATACGCATTTCATTCATTATGAAATAGCTGCTCATCAGAAAATAGAGTATTTTTAAATGGCTGCTATTTTCTAAGATAATGACAACCAGAAAGAAAAAAAATACAAAAAAGGAGCCCAATTTTTAAAGAGTTTTTGTAAGCTGTATTAGAAACTGAATAAAGAAAGTATAAAGAGGAGCTGGGAAGGTGGCTCAGTGGTAGAGTGCTTACCTTGCATGCATGAGGCCCTGGGTTCGATTCCTCAGTACCACATAAGAAAAAAGAAAAAAGCTGGAAGTGGTACTGTGACTCAAGTGGTAGAGCGCTAGCCTTGAGCTGAAGAGCTGAGGGACAGCGCCCAGGCCCAGAGTTCAGGCCCCATGACAGGACACCCCCCCCCCAAAAAAAAGTATAAAGAAATGTATATAGATTCCCAAAACAATTTTGAACTCTTAAACTAGATCATCTTTAAATTGGCAAGATTTAAATGCCACCACACTACCATCTTTTAGCACTGAATTTGCTAATGAATAAAATTTGTACACCTACACAATTGTACAAACATCATTCTATTTATTTATTTTCTACAGAACTGGTATTTGAACTGAGGCTTGCTAGGCATGGGCTGTACCACATGAGCTACAATCCGTCCTCCAACATTATTTATTCTGAGAAGCTTCTAATTGTTAAGTTGTAGTTTCTGTGGATGAAATTGATTCAAAGGGGCTGGGAAGGTGGCTCAGTGGTAGAACGCCTGCCTTGCATGCGTGAGGCCCTGGGTTCGATTCCTCAGCACCACATAAGCAAAAAGAAAAAAAGCTGGAAGTGGTGCTGTGGCTCAAGTGGTAGAGTGCTAGCCTTGAGCTGAAGAGCTGAGGGACAGCGCCCAGGCCCAGAGTTCAGGCTCCATGACCGGACCCAGAAAAAAAATTGATTCAAAAAAATTTTCTGACAGGTACTGTTGCACATGCATATAAACCTAGCACTCAGGAAGTAGAGAAAAGGATCACAAGTTCAAACCCAGGATGGGCTATACAACAAGACACTGTCTCAAGCATCCAAAAATAACAACAACAAAATTTCTAAGTGGGCTTCAATTTTTAGGATTTATTTTTGTCTTGTTCACAAACTTTCGCACTGAGCTCTGCCTCTTACCAAAGTAAAAGCATCTCTATCTTTCTTCTTTACACTCTAGTCCAGTTCACTGAAAGTCCAGACATAACATTTACTTTTCTTTCCCAAATCTCTTCAGTCTTCATGTGCCAACCACATTGCTTTATACATTTTCACGCTGCCACAGCACCTAAAAGTGGTTTGCGTCTTGTAGACATTCTATAAATATTACTGAATAAATGAAATGAATGTCTCTACCATTTTAAACATCTTTTCATGACTTTTCTTACTTAATTCTATTTATGTCTAACTTTCACTGCCTAGTTTTCAAGATGTGACACAACCTGGCTCAATGTCCCCGTTAAGTTTAAATTGCCAGGGGCTGGGAAGATGGCTCAGTGGTAGAGTGCACTTGCCTTGCATGCCTGAGGCCCTGGGTTCGATTCCCAGCACCACATAAGCAAAAAGAAAAAAGCCGGAAGTGGCACTGTGGCTCAAGTGGTAGAGCGCTACCCTTGAGCTGAAGAGCTGAGGGACAGTACCCAGGCCCAGAGTTCAGGCCCCACGACCGGACCCAAAAAAAAAAAAAGTTTAAATTGCCAGTATTTCATACCTAAAATCCTGTCTTAGCTACTGATTCCCAGAAAACACAAGCTTCTGCTCCCACAACTGCTTCTTGACAGCTACAATGAAGTATTTATCTCAGTCTCTTCACCTGTGCAAACTTCTTGTACTTCAAGGCCCATTACAAATCCTATTTCCTCCACAAGGCTTCTATACTGATACCTTCTGAGAAAATCTCTACAAGCCATGATGTATCCCTGGCCTCTGGAGGTCAAAGACAAATACCCTTGAAATAAAATCCTGATATGAAAATATTCACAGCCATCTATAATCCTAAGCATGTAACTAAAACCAAGGTATTTTAGCACTCCTAAAGTAGAATGAGATCAGTAACTAATTACTGAGTAAATTTAGATTTAAAACCACTATACTTTTTTATATTTTGCCAATGATTATGGAAAATTTTGACAAAAACTAGCCTTAGTCCCTGGACGAATTTGGGACAGCCTTGGATAGCTTTGTGGTGTGGTAAAACCAGGAAATCTGTGTTTTTAACAAGCCCCTGGGAAGATTCCCATGCATAGCCACATTTGAGAACTAATATATTAACAACTAAAATAAACTCACTTAAGATCGTATTATGTGGCATAATTTTTTCTTTTTGATGGCACTAGGGTTTGAACTCAAAGCCTTGCATTTGTAGGGCATGCATTCTACCACTTAAACTATGCCCCAAATTCTTTTTGCTGTATTTATTTTTGACTAGGTCCTTGCATTTATGTCCAGGCCAGCCTTGATCATAATCTACCTATGTGTGTTTCCCATGCAGCTGGGATGAAAGGCACATCACCAGGTAGACACAGGGTCTCAAGAACTTTCTGCCCCCACTAGCTTCAGAATGAAGATCCTCCCAATCTCTGTCTCCCAAGTAGCTAGGTATATAGGTATGAGCCACTGCACCTGGCCTTATGTGGCATATTCTACATAAGACTTAATTCATGTAAGTCTCCTATCTGCCAACTAAACTCAGGCTTTCATTTTTTTGGTTTTTTAAGACAGGATCTTGTTATGTAGTGCAAGGTGGCCTCAAATTTGCTGTGCAATCCAGGATGACCTTGAACTCATGTTCCTCCTGCTTAACTTCTTAACTGCATGTACTACTATGCCCAGAAAAACTTAAATATTTTTCTTAAAACAATACCTGAATACCTCCCAAATTCTCATTCTCCATAGTGCCTGAAATACTGCTTGAAACCAAAGTTGTAGCAAAAGATATACTGTATTTTATTAGTTACTTTGGCATAGATTATAAAAATGTAGCTTAATTAGTCCTCTCATGAAGTTTCATGTAAATACAAATATCACCTTCAGAAAACTTACTTTGTCAAACGAGCCTCCTTCACAGTTTTCTGCCAGATCTGTATCTTCTGTTCTCTTTGAGCCAGTGCTTTCTGATAGGCAGGTGGAAGACTTCCAGGTATCTCTGTTGTATCCCCTTCCATTTCAAAGGGGATAATAAATACATAGAATTCACAAGGTGGTAAGAGTTGGAAGACATTGTTGCTGTTCTCTCTGCACACAACCATTGGATTATCCCAATAGTTAGGCACTGTAGCAAGACCAGTCCTGGCCATGTGGTCCTCCAGCATTGGGTAATGAGTATGAAACGGTGCAAAAGTTACTCTCTGGTTTCCAGAGAGAATAAGTGGGCGTGAAGGTGTCAAAAGATGAAAGACACAATCTGTTGTCAAAGAGACGGACAAACGATGGCAAACTGCAATGACTTTAACATTGTCACAGCCATGGAGGTGAAGAGCAGTCTCTACAGGGCCCAAGACAAAGGTGCTATTCCTGCACTTCTCAATTGTCACAGATCTGAAATCAATTTTAAATGAGGTTAATTCCTCTGAATAAGGAATAAAAAAAAGTCCTGATGAAAAAAAGGATTAATTCTATTTTAAAAGAAGTATCAAAATGTCAGAATTTGAAGAGGACTATGCTTACCGTAAGGGAGACAGCAGATATATAAAAGATTCATTGCACCGATGAATCCTGACATGTGCTCCTACCAGAGTATCAGAACTCTTTGCCAATGTCTGCTTGTAAACCTGGCTCATTACCACCATGCGGTGCCTTTTAGGGGCCACATGAGAATTGCAAGCAATCTTGGCTCTTTTGGTCATACCTTCAACTATTTAAAAAACAAAAACAAAAAACCCATAAGCAAAACAGTTTTGAATCAAAGTGAAGTACCACACAAGGTTACACAAATCCTTGTTTACACTTAGATAACGTGAGAAAAAAAGCATATCTGAGTACTAGATAAAATGGTGTTAACTATACTACTTTCTCTATATTTGTAGTTGTTCATGATCTGTTATACATTATTTTTATTTTATTGTAAAGGTGCTGTACAGAGGGGTTACAGTTACATAATTAAGGGAATGAGTACATTTCTTTTCCTTTTCTTTTTTTTTTGGGGGGGGGGGGGTTGGTTGTGGGGCTTGAACTCTGGGCCTGGGCGCTGTCCCTCAGCTCTTCAGCTCAAGGCGAGCGCTCTACTGCTTGAGCCACAGCACCACTTCTGATTTTCTAGTGGTTTATTGGAGAGAAGAGTCTCACAGCCTTTCCTGCCCCGGCTGGCTTTGAACTGTGGTCCTCAGATCTCAGCCTCCTGAGTAGCTAGGATTATGGGCAAATAAGTACATTTCTTGTCAAACATTGTTACCTACTCCTTTGTTTTTCTCCCACTGTGCTTTCCTCCCCACCTCCCCCTGAAGTTGTAAAGTTCATTTCCAACAAACATAGTGTCTTGTGAGTATCACTGTTGCTTGGGTCATCCTATGTCTTTTTTTTTACCATTGTTATTCCCTTTCCCTCCTCAAGTCAGATAAATGTATATACAAGACACAGGGTACCAGAATCAAAGAGAGTGATTGCCAGGGATAAACCAAAGGGAAAAAGAAAAATGAAATAAAATAAAAAGAAAAAACCTGATACAGTACATTGATAACAAGGTCAATAACCAAAAAAAAAAAAAAAAAAAGACCTGTTGTTTCCATGTCTTGGAGTTTATTTTGATTAGCATCATTTTATATGGTCATATGTACATAGCTACTGAGCTATTGTGATCCTCTGCTAGGACCATCCTAGACATATACTAATTATTACAAATGAAGGAAGTCTATGTTTCCTTGAGTCTCGCTATAAAATTTTAAAATCTATAATCCATTTATTGTGAGACCTAAGCTTTTATCATGTCTTCCTTTTAAGTAATATTTCTACAGTCTCATGGCTAGTGAAGGGGTATGATTGGCCTAACACAAATACTTTCTCATCTTTATTATTATCCCAACCATAGGCAACCTCTCTTAAGTTGCCATAATAGTCATGATAACATAATGATACTGATGGCACCATTTCATGAAGTCAAGCTGAGGTCATGTCTTTACTTCCAAGATTATTACTACCAGATGTTGTCATACCCGGGTATGGGTATGGGTATGACCATTATATACAATGTCTTACCCAAACTGACACCAAAAACATATTTCTGTTCCTCTCCCAATATGGTACCAACATTATGAGCCTTGCTTCTCAGCCTGCACTTGTCTGTAAGCCTTGGGACACCCTTAGTATGTAAGTGAGAATGAAATCAGCTAAATTAAGGGGACAATGGGGTTAGAAGACATAGGGAATGATGAAAGTGGTGACATTGATCAAGATACACTATAGTAAAAATACACTGTAGTGATAAAGTGACATATTGAATTGAAACTTTTGTATAAACTTCTTAAAGATAATCTTTAATTTTTAAAAGTTCAGTTATAATTCACTACTAGAATTATTTTTAAATGATATATGTATCATATAATACACGGTTACTTTAGAAAAATAATTGTAAGAGAAAAATAATTGTAAAAGAAAAAAAATTACATTTGCAATCCTTCTATCGCTGCAAACATTTTAGGGTAATCCTGAGGTTGAATATTCTTTTCTTTTTTTTTCCTTTAGTGTCGACCCAAACATATCTAAGCCTATATTCTTTTATGAACACAAGAATCATATACCTATAGTGCCCTTACATCATCTGAGTCTGAGTTTATAGAGAATAGTTTGGTTGGATATAGAATTCTTGGGTTACAATTTTTTTTTTTTTTTTAGTACTACAGTTTGAACTAGTCCATTGTGTTGTCTAGACAGGCCCTCTACTGCTTGAGCTATCCCTCCAGCCCTTTTTGCTCTGAATAATTTTTTTGATAGAATCTTACTCTTTCTCAACGTGGCCCAGAGGTGATAAGATATGCACCACCAGGCCTAGCTTTTCTTGTTGAGATGGCAAGCTCATAACTTTTTCTTTTGGCCTGAGTTAGCATGGACCTGAAATCATTCCAATTGATTGTGATCCTCTGCTAGGACCATCCTAGACATATACTAATTATTACAAATGAAGGAAACCATGGATATGCCAGCACACACAGGGATTTGAGATGGTGCTTCATAAATATTTTGCCTGGGTTGGCCTCAAAAAGCCATTCTCTGATCTCATCCTCTGGAGTAGCTAGGATCATTAGTATGAATCTGGCTGGATTACAATCTTTCTGTTCTAGATTTGTATGTAGTATTCAATTGTTTTCTATTTTTAGTGTTATAACATTTTTACATATTCTGGGGTGTGTACCTTGGTAGTTCTAAAATGTTAACCTTGATAGGAGGATTATAAAATGAGTTTTGTTTTCTATCTTTACAGTCATTTTCTATAATAACCACACATTTGGTTGTATACTTGGCATGCCTGAAAACGAGTTCAATCCCACATACCCTTCAAAACAACCCTGAGTTCAATCCCACATACCCTTCAAAACAAACTGTCACAAAACTCATATTAAAAAATGTATGTATATATAGGACTGGAAATGTGGTTCAGTGGTAGAGTGCTTGCCTCGCATGCATGAAGCCCTGGGTTCAATTCCTCAGTGCCACATACACAGAAAAAGCTGGAAGTGGCACTGTGGCTCAAGTGGTAGAGCACTAGCCTTGAGCAAAAGAAGCTGAGGGACAGTGCCCAGGCCCTGAATTCAAGCCTGAAGACAGGCAAAAAAAAAAAAAAAATATATATATATATATATATATATGTATATATATATATATATAATTTATATGGAAGCTATTTTTTCTTTGTCTTTGAAATTCAGAGATAGCAGTACGATCTAGTGCAAGCTTTTTTCTCCGTTGATTTTTGTCAGTTACTTGCTTCAGTAGTACCAAATTCTTCTCTTAAAACTTATGCATATGCTTGATAAGAAATGTGCCAGGAATAACACTTGATGAAATCAATGCCAGATACTCTCGTTACTAACATATTTTCCAATTTAGAAACATCCCCTTGTGTGTGTGGACTAAGAAAAGACTTTTTCTCTTCACCAACTCTCTCTGGGGCTGTTGCAATTGGATGCCCAAATTCCATTGTATAGAAAACTAAAAAGTCTCAAGCAAGTGAACAAGAGAAAGAGAGAGAGACAGAGAGAAAGACAGAGACAGAGAGAGACAGAGACAGAGAGACAGACAGACAGAGAAGCACAACAAAGAGAGGACTATCTGTAGGTAGAATCGTGTCAACAATAAGCAAAAGGGCCCTAACTAATATACTAGTTCTTTGAGACTACTGTTGTTGAAGACACTAATCTTTTTCTTTCTTATAATAATACTGGGGAAAAAAAATTCTAGATGGGTGCTGGTAGCTCACACCTCTATTCCTAGCTACAGAAGGCTGAGATCTGAGGATTGCAGTTCAAAGCCAGTTTCAGACAGGAAAGTCCATGAGACTCATCTCCAATTAACTATCAGAAAAACAGAAGTGGAGCTATGGCTCAAAGTGCTATAGGACTAGCCTTGAGCAAAAGAGCTCGGGAACAGTGCCTAGGCCCTGAGTTCAAGCTCCAGGACTGACAAAAATGAAGAATTTTAGATCCTCTACAAAAAATATGTAACATTAATATACCAGGAAACAATGGACTGTCATTCAATTCAATATTGGCCAAAATATAAAAAATACCTTGGTGAGCCCAAGCCAATTTTTTTCCAGATTTGAGACAAGCAGATGTACCAAATGGATTCCCAGTCAAACAGGCTCTCAACCAGGCTTGCAGCTTGTAGAAAGAGAAAGTCTTAGAGATCTTTGAGAAGCCACTTTCTGCATGTAGTGGTTGCCACAGGGCAAGTTCATGTAGAGGATAAACCTTCTTGGCTCTACTCACTGTGCCTTCAATAAGAAAGCTAAGGGCCACAACAGCTTCTCGAGAAACTAGACTATTATGGGTTGAATGAAAAGATGCTGTGAGTTGTTCTGGATCTAACAGCAATTCAAGGAGATCTGACAGATGATCATAGACAAAAGCCTGGTGACTGTAATCATTCCAATTCTGAAAAAAATAATAAAAAGCAATTATTATTAACAAAGAGATTCTGTAAAATATAGATTTTACATTTAATTATCCTGCATTTACATGCCACCTCATTCCCCAAGACTCAATTAAATGACTATACAGAAAACCCTTTTTGTGTGGATGAGTAAAAGCAAATTCTACTTCCATGTTAACTAATTCAAAAGAATATTCTTTGTCTGAAAGGTCCTGGAATGGGAAGTGTTAGGGATTTTGGAAATTTTCATTACTTGAGGGATTTTGCATTTATACAGGAGGCATCTTGAAGATGGGACCAAACCTATACATGAAATTAGTTTATGTTTCATGTACTTTATACATACAACCTAGTGGGAATTTTACTTTTAACGTACTCATATTCTGACTACTGTCATCTGAAGTCAGCTATGGAATTTTCTTTTTATGATAACATATTAGTACTCAAAAAGTTTCAGACTGTGGAGCATTTCCGTTTCTAATTTTTTTTTTCTTGGTGGGTCGCGGGACTTGAACTCTGGGCCTGGGCGCTGTCCCTGCACTCTTAAGCTCAAGCGCTCTACTGCTTGAGCTATAGTACCACTTCCGGTTTTCTGGTGGTTTATTGGAGGTAAGAGTCTCACAGACTTTCCTGCCCGGGCTGACTGAACCGTGATCCTCAGATCTCAGCCTCCTGAGTAGCTAGGATTACAGGTGTGAGTCACCAGCACCCAGCTCTAATTTTTTTATTAAGGATATGAACCTGTACTAATAATTAGCCACTAGTGTGTGCTAAGCATTGTTATACAAACTTTTAAATTCTAACAATCCTAAAGTAGATGCCATTATCACATCCATTTTAGAAATGAAGAAATGAAGACACAGATAGGTTAAGGTACTTGTCCAAAGTCACACAGCTGGTAAATTGCAGAATACATATAAACAAAATAGGCATTCAATGAAGCACCAGGTTTCCATCTCAAATTATAGAAAGAATTGCAAATTCTATTGGATGAAATGGTGTTACTAAAGTGACTAAAGAGAGACTATAACCTAGGAATAGCTTTCTTTTTTTTTTGGTTGTGGGGCTTGAACTCAGGGCTTGGGTGCTGTCCCTGCGCTCTTCAGCTCAAGGGGAGTGCTCTGCCACTTGAGCCACAGTGCCACTTCCGGTTTTCTAGGGGTTTATTGGAGTCTCGTGGAATTTCCTGCCTGGGCTGGCTCTGAACCAGATCCTCAGATCTCAGCCTCCTTAGTAGCTAGGATTACAGGCATGAACCACCAGCGTTTGGCTGATGTCCTAGTGATTTGGGCTCATTTATTTGCAAGATTCTTTGTGAGCATCTCTTAGCAAGCATAATATTAAACAATGAATCTTGAGTAAGACATAGCTCCTGGCTTCAAGGAACTCGAGTCTATACATGTGAAGATAATATAAATATATAAGCACAGCACACAGAGTTAGGATCTACCTGCTGAGAGATCTGTAAATACTTTCTATGAGCATGAGAGAAACTACTAACCACACCTGGGAGAAAAATTTATGGCAGTGTTGTTTGAATATTCCTGATTGATGTTGGCAGTTAAAAGCAAACAGATAAAGGGGGAAAGTCACTCAGGACACAGGAAAAAGCATATGCCGAGGTCTATAGAAGTAAAAGTACTGCTTTGTTCAGAGAACTGGAAGTTCTGGGTGGAGTAGGTAGCATGCTTGTAGGTGTCAACTGAATGATAGGCAGGGACCAATCATAAAAGGCCTGTGTAAATACTTAACACCTAGGCTCTGTTTGGTGTGCAGGGACTTTCAAACTATGTTCTATATAGTTATACTTTCTCTTCTTTTCTCTTATTCTCTTTTTGTAGTATTGTAGCTTATACTTGTTAGGCAGGTGCTCTACCTCTGAAGCCACCCTTCTAGCCCTATGCTTTTTTAAATAATAAATTCTCATTTGAATACCAAAGAAAATAGATAAAAGCTGTCTTCAGTTAAATCTGCTCTTCCTCCTTACTGCACTGCCTCTCGGCTCCTCAAAGTAGTAGTCCTTGATGTGGCTCTGTGAAAGCAACAATGGTAATGATTCATTCACCTACAGAGTTTAGGCAGAAGATGAATATACTGTGTCTGCACTGTATAAAGTCCAGTGTGCTTGGAATCAATTATGACCTCTTGAAATAAAAAGCAAAAGGGGGGGGGGGAATGTCTGATAAAAAAAAAAAAGCCTAGATAAAAATACAGCAGAGAAAAAAAAATTTACAGCAGAGGAGCCCATCAGTTATACTGGACATTGATGAAAGTGAACTAAGCAACTCAAGGGCAGTGATGGGAGGGAGGGGAGAAGAGGGAACCGCTATACTAAGCCAAAGGAAAGAAATGTACATATCACCCGATTTATAAAAAAAATTGTTGTGTTGTTAAAGGTCATAAACAATGTAGTTTAAAATAATGATGACTATCATTGTGAAGATTAAAAGGTGTTTGTGGGGGGAAAAAGCCTAGATGTGAGAAAAGAGACAGATTAAAGACAGTCTGAAGCAGAAATGGAAAGATCTGACAATTACAGAGAGATAGTATAGGTAGGCTGGTGATAATTTTCACTGGTATAGACAGTACATGATGCTAACTCAAGTAAAAGTAGAGTTTAGTATAGGGTTATAATTATCTCACAAACTAGAAGCAAGCCTCATAGAACTGGAAAGTCATCTGTAATCTTCTCTTTCAGAATGGCTTTTTGCATATGTCTTTTTTCTGATAAGCAGCATTCTGTGCTTCACTGATTATTTCAGAGTCTCTCATCTCTCATAACTAGGTTACTCATTAGTATGGTGGCTAATCTAATAGATCCCAATGCCTCAGGAATTTTTACCTCAAGTACACATTACCAACTGCTAATTTCTTCAGTCTCTAAAGAGGACTGATGGCCCCATATCATCATTTTAAATTGGACCAATTTCAAATATATAGCAATGAGAATTAGGTATATTAAACACTCTGAAATTGGAGGATTGTCTGAGACCTGTTTGAGCAATGCAGTGAGACTCCATCTAAAAAGCAAACATAAGAAGTAGAATATAAGCCAGGAGCCGGTGGCTCATGCCTGTAATCCTAGCTACTCTGGAGGCTGAGATCTGAGGATTGCAGTTCAAAGCCAGCTCAGGCAGGAAAGTCTGTGAGACTCTTATCTCCAATAAACACTCAGAAAAACTGGAAGTGGAGTTGTAGCTCAAGTGGTAGAGTTCTCGCCTTGAGCTGAAGAGCTGAGGGACAGCACTCAGGCCCAGAGTTCAAGCCCCACGACCAACAACAACAACAAAAAGAAGTAGAGGGCCTAGGAAGGTGGCTCAGTGGTAGAGTGCTTGCCCTGCATGCCTGAGGCCCTGGGTTCAATTCCTCATCATAGAAGCAGAAAAAGCCAGAAGTGGCAGTGTGGCTCAAGTGATAGAGCGCTTGCCTTGAGCTGAAGAGTTGAGGGTGCCAGGACCAGTGGCCAGTGTTCAGGCTCCATGACCGACATTAAAAAAAAAAAAAAGAAGTAGAATATAAAGCAATGGATGAGCTACTCGATTCACTTGCCCATTCCCAGCCTAATCAATTACTTGAATAGGTCATGCCATAGCACAAAGCAGAACCACCTTTTGTTGGTGCTTATTATGCAACAAATCCTGTGCCAATGTAACTTTCTGAATTCAGAAAGAAGTCAGAAAGAGGCATTCTTTTCCTATTTGGAGAAGGGAAGCCAAGGCCTAGAAAAGTTAACATGCCTAAAATCATGTAATTTTTAGTAGTAAAGCCAGACTTGAATGCAGTCTATTTTGACTAAAAACATTATCTCTTAATGTACTCATTTAGCAGGAGCTTCATCTGGAGAGAGCACCCAATGACTGTATGTCAATACATTTAGACTGAGATAGCCTAAACTTAAAGCATAGCTTTAACTGAAGAGGTAAATATAGAGCAAGAGCTCTAGTGTGGATGCTAACCCAGTAGTCACCAAGCTATATGAAGTCCTAAGAGCAGAGGTGATTCCAACAAATGTTTATCTTAAGAAGAGAAAACACAGACTCTTGGAAACTTGTAAGGTACAGAAGAGAGGAACTCATTTACAAAGTGAGAACGATTAATAGCAGAACCAAGAGGGTATAGCATCATGAAATATATGAGAAACATTTAAAATATTACAGAAAGGTGAAAATCATGTAAACATTTTTGCAAAAATAGAAAGAAAAAGCAGTAAGATATTTTCCAAGAAAACTCCCGTTTGACAGTTAAAATCTAAGTTGTCAGAGCACATTCAATTATTCATACGTGACTAAACAACATAAGAAGATATTTTTATAGAAATCTTTTCAGTAGATTCTAATAGATTTTGTAGACCTGACATCTCATTTACCCTTTCCAAATCCATGAGCATTTGCAAAAATGGGAGAACTGTGAGAATACAGTGAATAACTTGTCCAAATACCATGTAAGTGACTTTTATACCAGTTAAGGAACTGAATCACTACTCTCTTTTGATTTAGTACATGCACTGATTTTGTTTTATTATAAGAAAAAAACTAAAAGGAAATAATAAGCAATTAATTCACTGGCCTATATAAGGCATTTTTTTTTTAAGACAGGATCTTGCTATAGTCTAGATTGGTGTTGAATTCTCCATCCTTCTCCCTTAGCCTCCCAAGTGCTGAGATCATAGGTATGTACCACCATATCCATCTTCATTCTAACAAAATTATTTTTTGTGTGCCAGTTCTTGGGGCTTGAACCCACTCAGGGCCTGGGTGCTGTCTCTGAGCTTTTTTGCTTAAGACCAGCATTCTACCACTTGAGCCACAGTTCCATAGTTCCACAGTCCAGTTTGGTGGTTAATTGGAGTTAAGAGTCTTGTGGACTTTCCTGCCCAGGCTAGCTTCAAACCACCATTCTCAGATCTCCGCCTACTGAGTAGTTACGATTACAGGTGTGAGCCACTGGCATCTAGCTATTCTAACATAATTTTTAATTAAGGTAATTTTTTTTTCCAGTTGTGGGGCCTGAACTCTGGGCCTGGGCACTGTCCCTCAGCAATTCAACTCAAGACCAGTGCTCTACCACTTAAGCCATAGCTTTACTTCTGGCTTTTTCTGCTTACGTGGTACTAAAGAATCAAACCCAGGGCTTCATGCATGCAAGGCAAGCATTCTACCACTGAGCCACCTTCCCAGTCCAAGGTGAATCATCTTTAAAATGGCCTCTTTCTCCAAAATATAAACAGTACCTTATTATGATAGCTGGATTTTTCAGTCAGGTCAGGAGACTGAGATCTGTTTCTGGGACTAGGCCACTCTTCTCCAATCAAAGATGTTCGTAGAGAAACCTTGTTTAATTGTTGTATGTATAAGAAGAGCAGAAACTGTAGGGTGTCCACTGAAAGCTATTCAAGAAGAAAACAAGATAAATGTATCTTTAAACACCACCAATTATGAGTTTACAACTAACATAGCACAGTAAACTGAATTCACAGTTGCTGATACTAAATAAACAAATTCAGAAACAATGATAATGTCCTCCCCCGTGTGTGTGTGTGTGTGTGTGTGTGTGTGTGTGTGTGTGTGTGTGTGGTCCAGATGGAAGAATTGTGTGTGTGTGTGTGTGGTCCAGATGGAAGAAGTGTGTGTGTGTGTGTGTGTGTGTGTGTGTGTGTGTGTGTGTGTGTGTGTGTGTGTGTGTGTGTGTGTGTGTGTGTGTGTGTGTGTGTGTGTGTGTGTGTGTGTGTGTGTGTGTGTGTGTGTGTGTGTTCCAGATGGAAGAATTTCTAAAGCCTTGAAAATTTTCTCCCAGGGTTAATGAAGAGGAAAGGATTAAGTACATACTTTTACATATTTCAGAAGTGTAGTTTAAAAAAAAAAAAAAGAAAGAAAGAAAGAAAAAGAAAAAGAAAACCCAAGGAATCTGAATAAATGAATAGATGGAAACAAAAAACAAAAAGTAAATCTGGTCAACACAAAAAGGTTTAGCCCAAGGCTGACATATTAACCAAGAAAGTTTAGTATTATCAGTATAGTATATGAAACTTTATGTAATTTCTTGGTTGTAGGTAAACAGGACGCAGGCTTTCACAAAATTCCTAGGAAGTTGTTTAAGGAAAGGAAAGAAATAGGCATGGGGATGCTTGAAATAACAGCATTTGGGAGACTGAAGCAGGAGGATTGTGAGGTTTGGCTGTTTGTTATGTTTTGTTTTATTTTGGTGGTCATGGAACTTGAACCCTGGGCCTGGGCGCTGTCCCTCGGCTCTTCAGCTCAAGGCTAGCTCTACCACTTAAGCCACAGCGCCTCTTCCAGTTTTCTGGTGATTAACTGAAGATAGAGTCTCATGGACTGGACTGTATTGCCTGGGCTGGCTTCGAACCATGATCCTCAGATCTCAGCCTCCTGAGTAGCTAGGATTGCAGGAGTGAGCCACTGGCGCCCGGCTAAGATTTTGATTTTATCACTACTAAGCTAGACTCTATCTTTACAGCAACAAAAAGTAAACAAAAAACACTACTGGCCTTATAGACATGTAAACTTATTTTTTATGTGAGGAACGGTATGATTTGAAGCTCATGATTATCCTCATATACTCTGTCCCCACACAAACACAGGAAAGGTAAAACATTATAATCCCCCTGATTCCAAACTACCACTATCTGAACTGAAAAATACAGACTCGATGGCTCACATTTATTCAATCAACTGTCAATGTAGAGACCCACAAATGCTTGCATTATGTAAATTTGTATTTTCTTAAAGTTTGATAGATTTACATGCAGGTGTACAAATATCCCATATACTCTTTATCTAGTTTCTCATTTTCTAAGGCTATAGTACAATACCATAATTAGGATGCTGACATTTAAATAGTCAAGATACAAAACATTGGGATCAACACAGATATGTCTTATGTTGCCCTTTACAGACCCATTCACTTCCTTGCTAATCCTTTCTCTTTTCTCTTATATCTGTAATTTCTGTCATTTTGAAATTATTATATACATGGACTCATACAGCCTGCCACCTTTGGGGACAGGGTTTTTTTTTTGTTTTCACTTTGCAACTCCTTGATTTTCTGCACATTTCCATTTTAATAATTATTTGTTAAAACATTTCTTCAGTATCCACATGAGATTATAATGTTCTATTTTTTTTTTGGGGGGGGGGGGGGACCCGGTCGTGGGGCCTGAACTCTGGGCCTGGGCGCTGTCCCTCAGCTCTTCAGCTCAAGGCTAGCACGCTACCACTTGAGCCATGGGACCACTTCCGGCTTTTTTTTTTCTGCTTATGTGGTGCTGAGGAATTGGACCCAGGGCCTCATGCATGCAAGGCAAGTGCTCTACCACTGAGCCATCTTCTCAGCCCTGTAATGTTCTATTTTTGTAGACAATCTAACTAATAAAAAATATGGTACACAAGCACTCATTTCCCTAGTGCAAGTCACCCCTACATAACCTAGGATAATACAGGTACTCACTAAATACTTGATTAATGAATACTACAATGACCTTCCCTTCTTGGTTTTATGTCAAGTCTCTTCAATTTCTAAAAACCTAGTTTAGATACAATCCTATAGGTAGATGCTAACCACTTTTTCTCCTTTTTCAGTGTAATTAGATAGCATTTCCTAGCCTCCCTTACAATTAGATATAGTACAAATGAATTATAATCAACTGAATGTAGGTGAATTTATACTTCTAAGCCTGACTCAAAAATTCTCTCAAAAGAAATGAAAGTAAAATGAGAGAAGATACTGAGTCAGCAAGCTGTAATCTTATAAAATTGTTTTTAGTTAAAATGTTGGGGAGAAAAAAATAAAGAGCCTTTTTCCCTAAAGTATCATGTATGAACCCATGACATTCTGACCTCTTTCTATCCTCAACTGTATGAATAACCTAAGATCACCTCTTTGAACTAGTTTTAACCTTTAGTTACTGTGGCTACACTGCCACTTGTATATATACATACAAACATATATACATACACACACATATATGTATATATAGCCATGAATTCTTAAGAGTTTAGTCCCTGTTTATAGTATGAATAAATAAGTCGGTGACCTACACAAAGCAAGACACAACTTCTTAATCTCTCAATAGACATCACCTCTTGTGGTGTAAACCTGTGTAGCTCTCTAAAAAGTCATTCTGTAGCCAAACAATTGTATAGTTTACTTGTCAGTTGTGGGGCTTGAACTCAGGGCTTGGACATTGTCCCTGAGCTCTTTTGCTCAAGGCTAGTGCTCTACTACTTTGAGCCACCTCCACTTTCAGTTTTCTCCTGGCTAACTGGAGATAAGAATCTCACAGACTTTCCTGCCTGAGGCTGGCTTTGAACCTTGATCCTCAGATCTCAGCCAGCTGAGTAGCTAGGATTATAGGTGTGAGCCACCGTTGCTCAGCTTTGTATAGTCCTCCCCACCCACTGCAACCCCTGCCTGTTTTGTTTTGTTTTTCTAATTGAGGTATGAAAAAGTTCTAGGTTCAGTTGAAGTTCTTGATGAAGAAGCACAATGGAGACTTCTTTTCAGCGATAAAATCTGCGTATTTGTATTTCAACAATGTAACTAAAAGTTGATATAAATTCTTTTTCTTTTTTGGCTTAATGAGTATCACTTATTAGTATGAAATCTTTATATTGTGTTAAGAATAAATACACACTAAATCTTGGTTTTAAAAAAAGGAAGAAAAAAATGGAAATAGCTCTGAAACCTAATTGTCAGGGCTATGGCTGTGTTAACATTCACAACTGTTCATCTCCTATCTTTTCAGAGCTGTTTGTATTCTTGTCCATGGTCATGGGATTTCCCTTATCTCCTGTGACACAGTTTGCCTTCCCACTTCAATGACTTTAGATTTGGCCATGGGACAAAGTTTTAGCCAATGGGATAAAAGTATGGTTTATACTACACCTGAGCAAAAGTTTTTTTGTTTTGTTTTTGTCAGTTGTGGGGCTTGAACTCTGGGCCTGAGCACTGTCCCTCAGCTCTTCAGCTCAAGGCTAGCATGCTATCACTTGAGCTACAATGCCACTTCCAGTTTTTCTGAATGTTTACTGGAGATAAGAGTCTCAGGGACTTTCCTGCCTGGGCTGATTTTGAACCGTGATCCTCAGATCTCTGCCTCCTGAGTAGCTAGGATTACAGGTGTGAGCCACCAGTGCTCAGCTGAGCAAAAGTTTTAAGCAGATCATAGAAGTATGGGACCTTGCATCATATATGCAATATAACGACATATATGCAAAGGCCTATGTAGCTTTTGCCATATATAATCAATTCAAAAGGATTGATGAAAGATTTTATGATGTGTAACAGTAAAACTCATAGAAGAAAAAGTTTTTTTAAAAAAGTCCATGATATTGGGTTTAGAAGTGACTTATTACACCCAAAACACAAATAGTAAAATAAAAAATAAATGAAGCCGGGCGCTGGTGGCTCATGCCTGTAATCCTAGCTACTCAGGAGGCTGAGATCTGAGGATCGTGGTTCAAAGCCAGCCCAGGCAAGAAAGACCGTGAGACTCCTATCTCCAATAAACCACCAGAAAACCGGAAGTGGCACTGTAGCTCAAGTGGTAGAGCGCTGGCCTTGAGCTGAAGAGCTGAGGGACAGTGCCCAGGCCCAGAGTTCAAGCCCCACGACCGACAAAAAAAAAAAAACAAATAAATGAGTGGAATTAGATCAATCTAAAACACATCTACAGGACAAAGAAAGCCAATCAACAAAATGAAAAGGAAACTATGAAATGGTAGTAGTTCACGTATCTGGTAACTTAGTAGACAAAATATATAAATGAACACCTTCAACTCAATAGCAAAAAAATACCCAAATAGCCTCATTAAAAAGATCTGAATGGAGCTGGGTGCCAGTGGCTCACACCTGTAATCCTAGCTACTGAGGAGGCTGAGATCTGAGGATCACGGTTCAAAGCCAGCCCGGGCAGAAAAGTACATGGGACTTTTATCTCCAATAAATCACTAGAAAACCGGAAGTGGCGCTGTGGCTCAAGCAGTAGAGCACTAGCCTTGAGCTGAATGGGCATTTCTTCAAAGACAAATGGCAAAAAGTACATAAAAAGGTGTTCTATATCACTAATAATTAGGAAATACAAATCAAAATGAGGCCAAGGGCCAGTGGCTCATGCCCATGATCTTCTGATCCTAGCTACTCAGAAGACTGAGACTGGGAGGATAGCAATTTTAGGCCCATCAGGGGTGGGAGTTTCTAAGACCCTTTTTTTTTTTTTTTTTGTCGGTCGTAGGGCTTGAACTCTGGGCTTGGGTGCTGTCCCTCAGCTCTTCAGCTCAAGGCGAGCACTCTATTGCTTCAGCCACAGTGCCACTTCTGGTTTTCTAGTGGTTTATTGGAGATAAGAGTCTGACAGACTTTCCTGCCCGGGCTGGCTTTGAACCGCGATCCTCAAATCTCAATCTCCTGAGTAGCTAGGATTACAGGTGTGAGCCACCTGCGCCCGGCTCTAAGACCTTATCTTAACCGAAGAAGCTGAGCAGAATGGGATATGCCAGTCATCACAGCTACAGGAGGAAGCATAAATAGGAGACTCACAGTCCAAGCTGGCCAGGGGAAAGAAAAAGCAAGACTCTATCTCAAAAAGAACTTGAGCAAAACAGCCTGAAGGCATGGCTCTCGTTGTAGTGCCCAGGTGAAGTACAGAGGTCAAATGTCTGTACAAGAACAAATAAAACAACAAACAAACAAAAGTCAAACAAAAATAACCTTACAGTATATTACTTCATATATTAGGATGACTACTATTAACAAATTAAAACAATCATTGGCAAAGAACCCTGGTATACAGTGGGGGGAAATGCACACTGATTCAACAGTGATGGAACAGTATGAAGGTTCCTCAAAAATCTGACCTACTATATGATCTAGCAATCCCACTTTTGGGCCTTTATCTAAAGGAATTAAACTTAGGATCTTTCATACCTGTACTTTCACGTTTGCTGCAGCACTAATGACAATAGTCAAGATATGGAAACAAAACATCCATCAAAAGATAAATGGATAAAGAAAATATGGTATATAGGTAGATAATTACTCAGCATTAAAAAGAAGGAAACTGTCATTTTCAACAACATAGCTGGACCTGAAGGACATTATACTAAGTGAAACAGACCAGGACAACTATTGTATGGCCTTACTTGTAAGTTCTACTAGTCCATTTTTTGTTACTATAGTGACTTATCTGAGGCAGGCTGAGAGTTTATTTTGGCTCACAGTTCTAATGATGCAAGGTAAAAAGCCCATATCTAGAGATAGCCTTCTTAATGGTCCACAGTATCAGATGGCAAGAGATATATGGGTATTTTCTCTTTCCTTCTTCTCATAAAGCCAATGGTATTCAATTATGGGGTTGGGGTAAGGGGCTATACTAATAACCTTATCACTTTCCAAAGGCCCCACTTTAATCACCATAATCACCCTTTTAAATTTTTCATAATGGGTATTAAAATTTCACCACATGAAGCCTTGGGGATACTGCAGTCATATCCAAACCATAGCATAAATGAAACTTAAAATAGTAAAACTCACAGAAGCAAAGTAGAATGGTCACTGTTAAGGGCTGGAAGGTAGAAGTGGAGAGACAGTAGTCAATGGCTACAGTTAAGCAAGATAATTTAGTCCTGTACCTCTACAATACAGCATAGTGCCAACATTTAATGGTACTGTACTGCATTTTCTAAAAGAATAGACCTATGCTAAGTATGCCTACCATATACACATTCATAATGTGGGTTGGGGAGATTTGGGGAGGTGATAGATGTCTCTGTGGCCTTGACAGCAGTAATGACTTCACAGTATATAGTCATCTTTAAAGTTGTCAAATTGTATATATTTTAAAAAAAGACATCATGAATCCCCTCCCACTCTGTTGCTCTTCCCATCTGTATGTAGGTATGACCTACAGAGAAGCTCTTTCTTCAGCTTATAAAGTTAAGAAGATGCATAATGCCAACTACAGCCTGGAAACATGCCACAGCTAAAGTGCAACCTACATGTAAAATGAACAAGAAATAAACTTTTCTTTTCTTTTTTTGTCAGTTGTGGGGCTTGAACCTCTGGGCCTGGGTGCTGTCCCTCAGCTCTCCAGCTCAAGGAGAATGTCTACCACTTGAGCCACAGCGCCACTTCTGGTTTTCTGGTAGTTAATTGAGATAATAGTCTCATGGATGATATTTGCCGGGGCTGGCTTTGAACTGTGATCCTCAGATCTCAGCCTCCTGAGTAGCTAAGATTACAGGCATAAGCCACTGGCACCTGGCAGAAAAAAGCTTTTCTAACCTAAGCCAATGAATTTTCACTATTTTCTTTTTTCTGTAGCAGAGCTAGTTAATACTAATAGTGACTTCAAAAAACAGAAGCATGGATCCTTGCATTATGGCTTGGACAAAAGCCTACAAATTCACCCTTCCAGGTTTACTTGTACAGGACTGCTGGATAAATGAGAACAGTTACTGTTGTTCTAAGCCACTGAGTTACTGGGATTATTATAATTGACCTCATCACACCACTGCACTGAACTAGGTCTATTCCCTAGAGTTTTATGGCAGGGTGAGAAAATATCTTAACAACAAAGCATTCAAGCTGTTGCTTGGTTATTTTTAACTGTAGAATGGTATGACCTAAAAATTGAATGTGTCATTGAAGGGAAAAATAAAAGATCTGAAAATTTCACAGCATGGCCAGGGAAAACACAAAGAAAAATCATGTAGGGCTTGTGGTCAAGCAACCTATTGCTAAAATGATCAGAATGAAAAAATGAGGTCAGATGCATCAGGACTTATTAAGAAAGAGGCCTGGAGAGTATCTCAGAAACCTTAGGCTGCTTCTACCTACCATCACAGGCCCAGAAGCCTAGAATGACAGATGTATTTCAAGGAATACACTCAAGATACTTTCCAAAGGTTTACCTGCCCAGGGGTACCTTGGGATTCTTCAGAGCCCCTGATGCTAAAGCAGGCACAGGTATAGCTCTTAACACAGCTCCAAAGGTGCTAAGTATTAGACCTTGGTGTACAAGTGCTAATTCTGTAGACATGCAGAATGTAAGAGTTACAAGTTTATGGCAGTTTCCACCAAGCCTCCAAAGCAGAGCCTAGAGGTTGAAGCAGAAGCCTACTTCAGAGGCAGAGCTGTTGCAGAGAAGGGCCACTGGCACAGTACCTGGTCAAGCTGTAGGAGGGGGGCCACCACCAAGATTCCAGATTTGTAAAGCTACCACTCTGCAATGATAGCCTGAGACCCCAAACTGAGAACTGAAGTAGAGGCTGAGCCCAGTAAAGCTAAAAAGGCAGGGCTGCTTGAGGTCTTGAAGCCTAACCCCATTTGCACAGGATGTAAAAACTCAGATCTTTTAATATTTCATGTCTGCTCTGCTGGATTTTGTACTTGGACTTTTTACTTGCCTACTCCTTTAGAAACAAGAATGTATAGCATCCAGTGCCTGCCTAACATTGTATACTAGAAGTAGACAACTTGTGTAGATTTTATAAGCTCACAGCTGAAAAGTTTACTTTGAATCTCAAATGAAACTTTTTGATTCACATTAGATCAAATTAAGATTTTTGAGACTATTTGGATGGTATTGTTCTGTATGTAAGAAATACATGCTGTACAGAAGAATGAGCAGAGACAGAATCTTTTTTTTTTTTTTGGTCAGTCACGGGGCTTGAAATCTGGGCCTGGGCGCTGTCCTTGCGCTCTTCAGCTCAAGGTGAGCACTCTACCACTTGAGCCACAGCACCACTTTTGGTTTTCTAGTGGTTTATTGGAGATAAGAGTCTCACGGACTTTTCTGCCCGGCCCGGGCTGGCTTTGAACCATGATCCTCAGATCTCAGCCTCCTGAGAAGCTAGGATTACAGGCGTGAGCCACCAGTGCTCAGCTCCGAGGCAGAATTTTATGGTTGGAATATTGTTTGTCCACTCTGAAAACTCATGTTCAAATTCAATTTCAATTGTGAGGCATTGAGAGGGTGGAAACATAATCTGAATATGGCATTTAGAAATGATATCCCTCAGACATTCCTTGTCTGTTAGTTTGAGATAGCCCGCCTCCTTGAGTTCAGGGCTCTGACAGCCGGAAAATCATATATATGACCTCTGAGCCTTGAAACTTCAGAATCATGAGCCAAAATGAATCTCTTTAAAATTGAACCAGTCTGTGATATGGTCTTATTAGCAACAGAAAATGGATGAATACATACTCCTAATCATCTCTGAACCCCAGCAGATGTTCATTTAAATAATCAGCTGCAGCCATACACTGGTGTTGTTGTTCAAAGCCAACTCAGGCAGGAAAAGTCTACAAGACTACTCACAAAAGCTGGAAGTGGCACTGTATGTAGCTCATGTTCTAGAACAGTAGCCTTGAGCACAGAGGCACAGGGACAGCACTTAGGCCCTGAGTTCAAGGCCCAGGACTAGCACCAAAAAAAAAAAAAAAAAAAAAAGTCAGCTGCATTTGAACCACATCAATGATATACTACCCCCAAATTATTTTTAAAGTCAATGAAAATATTTCACACTTTCACAGTTCTATAGTATTACCACTCTACAAGTGGGAAAATTATTGGTAAGTATTTGATGGAAAACATAAAATACTAAAAACATCAAATACTGCCAAATCAGAACCGCTAGAACTTAAATGGCACTTGGGGATCATAGTGGCCATTAAGCTAAACCTTTAGACTATACTGTTAGTACAAATACTTAGAATGGCTTATTTCCCAAATAATTATACACACATTAACCCATACCTGATTCCTCTGCTTTTCAACTTCATCTTCAGACGTGCAGTTGGACAAAATCTCAGACCATTCCAGGCTCTCCTCAGGTGTCCTCACCGAAAGACTATCGAATATTTCGAAGTAAAGCCATGCTATATCCTTAGCGAGTTGCAGCTTCCCACATGCAATGTGTCTCCATGTAGACCAGTATATACGTGGGTAAGCTCCCTCTGTGGCCCGTGTTCGAACATAGGTGGATATCTTCTTGAGATAATGAAGACTGAATTTGGACGGAGGGGGGATTTGCAAGGCACCCACTATAAAGGGCTCTGCTTTTACCCAGAGGAGAACTCCGGACTCATCCATAGTATCACTGAGGACATCTGGATGAAAAGGCTTCTCTGCATACCTAGGAAACAGAGTTTCTTCAGACTTTAAACAAATCTGTTATACATATTTTGATTTTCTCTTGTTTGTTTGCTTCCCTCGTCAGTCCTGGGGCCTGAGCTCAGGGTCAGGGCACTGTCCCTGAGCTTTTCTTTGCTTTGCTCAAGACTAGTGCACTACCACTTGAACCAGAGCTCTTCTTCTGACTTTTTGGTGACTCATTAGAGGTGAGAGTCTCTGCCTGGCTAGCTTCAGACAAGATCCTCAGATCTCAGCTTCTTAGCTATCTAGGTTCACAGGCTTGAGCCACTGATGCCAGGCTGTCCTTAACTCGTTTTTAAATGTACTAAATCCTCAATTTAAAAGCAGCTCTAGTTTAACAACTTAAAATAGATTTGAGGCCAGATTCTGTCACAATCTATTTGAGGAAAATACCTTATTTGATTTCTTAGCAATGGTTGTTTTAGAAGAATGTGAAAAGGCATAAAATCTGGGTTGGATCTTCCCTCAGGGCAGAAAGAAAAGGAATGGTGTGAAGAGGAAGTCATCTGGTTACTTGAAACTAGGCTTTACATGGAGGAGAACACTTTGGTAAAAACAAGTGGAGAAAAATTTCACAGAGTTAAATAACTTACCTAAAGAGGACAGTAGCTAAATACTTGGTATTGTAGCCTGTGCAGACAAGAATGGTAATGTAAACACAGTCTGAAAATACACATCAAGGAAAGTTACAGCATCTTTACTCTTTTTAACAGTATATTCCATTGTGCTTGGTTTCTTATGTGTTTTCATACATAACATATATGATTTATGAAATACTTCCATAACATCTAATACGGAAGTGTATTAACTCATCATCCCTAAATGATGAGTTAATATTTCATTGTAATTCCTTACCTTCTCTACAGTTTGTTTTTTAGTTTGTTTCTGAATTTGCACCTGTAACATTACATACAATTCTGTATTATTTTCAGAGCTTTCTAAATGTACTCCAATTTCAGGCAGCAACTTTTTTATAAGAACAAGATAGGTAAAATACTAATCGCTGATGATAAGTGAAGAGCACAAGCCTCTCCCATTTACATACTCTGCTTCGTGTACCTTAAAAACTTCCATTATAAAAAGTCCAAATGTTTTCACTTCTATATATTGTAGCTTGATTGCCATCTTTTAGGATATTTTATAGATTAAAGATCATCTTCCCAGCCACTTTCAGATGAGCATTGGTCAAATGAAGCAACTAACATTTCTGAAGCTCCTGACAGACACACATTCCCATTGCTTTTCAAAATAACTGTCAAAATAGCATCATCATTTGATCCAGATACCCACTTCATGAGCACTTAACTTCAGCTTAACATCACTTGAAAAAAATCTTTCCTTATGACTCATGAAGAAATGCTTGATTATATTTTGCATTCGTTGGTAAAAAGCTGTGTTTTTAAAAAAAAAAAAAAAACTTAAACTAATTGGCATCGAGTGTTTACTAATGTGCCAGGCAACATACTAAATATATCTTCTATACGCACAACCACCTGATTTATTCCCCCTATTTTCAGATAAGAAAAAGAAAGAAGAAAGAGGTTTAGCGAAGTGAAGGGACTCACTCATAGACTTAGCTAGCACAGCTCTACCTGAAGATTCTGATCGAGCTGTGAACCGTATGGGAAGGATTTCTGAAAAAGGAGCGGGTCCACACGAGACTGAAAAACTTTGGACACGAGGCCATTCAAGGGCCCGGGGAAGGGAGGCGGGAAGGTCGGGAGCTGATGGGTAAATGACCACTGCTTTCCAGTCCGTGAAGGGCTGGGCGATCTGGTACTGCCAAGACCACGAACCGAAGTGGTTTGCTGGTCAGGTCTGAGGCAGGCAAGACCCTGGAAACGCGAGTCCAAAGCAGATCCCCAGGGGGACAGGAACCGCACGGTAGAATGAACGCGGCTTCCTCGGGAGGGCGCTGGGGCTGGAGTGGGGGGTGGGCCGAGGGGGCCCCCACCTCGACGCCATCTCCACCGGGGTCCCAGGGCCCGGACCTCGGGAACCCCACGCCCCAGGGTCGGACAGCGAGTGGATAGCGGATCTGACTGTGACCCAGCCAGCCCCCACGCAGCCTCCTCGGTCCTCACCTGAAGCCTGAGCGGCCCACCCGGACCTCCAGAGCATCCGCCCCACACGGTTACCTGAGAAAGCCGCCGCCGCCCCACAGCCCCGGCGCCACAAGAGCCGCGCGTCTCGCCAGCCCGGCCCGGTCCGCTCCGCCCTCCGCTAACGCCGCCGCCCGCGGCGCAGGCGCAAACCTCACGCACTATAGAGGACTGGAGGACCGTGCTGCTAGAGCGGCAGGTTGCTGCTGCTCCAACGTCTCGGATAAACTTGGTTGAGGAACAGAGTCCTGAATGCTGAGAACCCCAGCCAGATCTGCCGTTGCTGGTGTCCTTGCCTTTCAACACAGTGGAGTAGGCCTTTTTTTTTTTTTTTTTTAAATTGCTCCACAGAACTATGCAGCCCTTAGCTGCTGGTAAGATTAGCACGCTTTGATCCGCAGTAATAATGATGTCAATTTTCATTTCTGGATCGCTTACTACAACCTGGGCACCGTGTAAAGGACCTTGATTATTGTATTACCTTGGCCTTCTCAAGAGCTTTTTTAAGTTGAACACATTTAATGTTTTACTAAAAACATTTCGTGTTTTTAATAAGGAAACTAGGTATGGAAAAGTGAACGTAGTTACTAAGTTAGTTACCCAGCAAGAAACTGAAGCAAAATTCAAACATGAAGGATGGACTAACATCTGCCAGGCCATGTCCTTCCAGCATTAGTTCTTTAACTCTGTTAGCTTTCTAACCCTGGTTACAGTCTTCAGATAGCTTTTAACATTTTTATTATTCCATCCAAAACATACCACTCTTGCCTTTAAACTTCCACTTCTGGATCTCCAAACGTTTCTGCTTGCTTAATTTCTTTAAAGCCATTACTAGGTGTAGAAAAGTAAAGTAGATCCTAAAATGCAACAGCTCCTTTGAGAGAAGTGGCCTCCACTATTAAGGCATCTTTCTGACAACAGTGACTTCATGTGTAAACAGACCTAGGTTAGGATCTACCCTGCATCACATACTAGCTCAGTGACGTTTATCTGTCTGTTCATGAATTGATAGGGATTGAAGCCAGGGGCATGTTTAGCAAATGTGAGTCACCCTACACACACACACATGGTGGTTTTGGTTTCCAACAAAAGCAGTTACTACTAGAGTACCATGACTTGTCTAGTACAGTGCTAGGTAGGCATTAAAGTTTACAGGCATGAACAAAAGAGATAAAGTCCTTGCTTTCTTGGAGTGTATAATTTAATAGAAACAATAAATACATATTTAGAAATAGGATAACTTCAGACAGTAATACTAATGAAGAAGAAATGGAGTCAGTAAAGGCATTTTAAACGTTAAATTTGAGCTGGTGCCTGAAGAATAAGAAATCTGGTACATGAAGATCACTTCCAAAGAAGCCTCTGCTCAACAATATTTGAACATGATTCCAGGTACTGTTCTAAGGTGCTGTTCTATACAGCTACTGTTAGAGTAAATTAGATTTTGCCAGAAAACCATGCAGACATCCAGGTACAAAGAATAAAGAAAAGGTTTACTGCCGGTAAAGGGACCAGCAAGACCCCTTCCCACAAGAGAGGAGTGAGAAGAAGGGCCCACTATTGTCTGAGGTGACCTATATAACCTACTAAGGCTAGGAAGGGCTAGAAGGGGGTAGGAGGTGGAGACCCTGATGTGAGTTAGAGCACCAGGGGCTTCATCATGGCAGACTAGGATTTATGGCTGCTGCCCAAGTAATAGATAAGGGACCCTGAAGCTGCCCAAAACTTAAGGTCACTCTAAGGGGCTCTTGCTGCTCCAAAGGAGTGCCATCTCAAGGCAAAGGAGGGTTGGAGGCTGATTATTTACTGCCTTTACTAAATGGGCCTAGTGTTGCCTAGGAAGGAAGCATGCTAAGCTGTGGAGAGGGGAAGGAGCATGCTAAGCTATGGGAAGGGAGATATTGGGCTAACAGCTACTAACAACAATCCAGATGTACAGTTTCACAAAACTGGCATTTCCTGGTAGTGTGGAGCCAGGTGAAAATAAGATTCCAAACGGGGTTAATTTTGACTGGTTGGTCAGAAAGTCTTCTCCACAGTGATATTTAAGCTGATGTCCAAGTTAAATAAAAGAGTCACCCAAGCTCTGGTGCAAAGACTATTTCAGGCAGAAGGAACAGGAAAGAAGGAACATGGTGTATACAAAAAAGAGAGGGATTATCTGAAACATAGTAAGGGGTATAATGGAAAAGGGCACATAGATAAGGCTTAGTAATTATAACTCTCAACATAGTCTTGGTATTTTAGTTTAAGTGCAATGAAAAGTTATTTGAGGCTTTTAAGGCAGGCAGTTACATGATTTGACATGTTCTTTTAAAAAACATACAAGGGGGCATATTAAAATGTATTAAGATATTTAAAATGGAGCCGGACACCACTGTCTCAAACCAGTAATCCTATAACTACTCAGGTAGCTGAGATCTGAGGGTTGCAGTGCAAAGCAAGCCCGGGTAGGTAAAGTTCGTGAGACTCTTATCTCCCAACTAACCAGCAAAAAGCCGGAAGTGGAGTAGCTTATGTGGTACAGTGCCAGCCTTGAGTGAAAAAGCTCAGAGGCAATGCCCAGGTCTTGAATTCAATCCCCAGTACGGCAAAAACAAAAAAAGAAATTAAGAACAGAGAGAAGGAAGGAGGGAAGAAAGGGAGAAAATAATAATAATAGAGTCAGAGACCAGTTATATCCTTGCCAGTTAAGAGATGACATGACTTGGCCCAGAGACCAATGTATAGTGGAGAGATTTAAATGGTAATCCATAGGTAAAGATTTGGATAGGTTATGCAGGAATGCAATCCAGGAAGAGATCTAGAGTTTTGGCCTAAATAACTAGGTGGAGCGTTAACTACTGTGAACGAAACTGGGAAAAGAGAGAGATTGAAAGTTCTCGTAGCTGTAGCAACAATTTGAGTTTACTGTGTGCCACCGTGACGGACAATTTCCAGAACTTTTTCCATTAAAAATTCATGGCACTGCCAGTAGATGCTTTACCTAAGTTTTGTTAAAAAAAAAAAAAGACTCGGGAGTTTTGGGGGTCGGGGATGTCTCACCGCTACGTGCTGGAAGCCGAATCTGAACTTAAGTCGGTCTGTCCCACGATCGCGTCTAAGACATCAGGCTTCCTGTCTATGAGACCGAGACAAATTTTCCTGTAGGAATGTTAAGGTATTATAATACAAGATCTCTGAAGCAAAGCGTCCGACGTTCTCTTAGCGCGGAGTTAATAGCCACTCCTCTCCCCGCCCCAGATGGAGACCACGAATCCCCAAGCCCGCTCATCCCGCTAGCGTATCACTGAATTTCCAAGCTTGTAACCAACACTCCCCTCCTGCAATTGGTTGGTGTTGGCAGAGGTGTATTGTTATTGGTTGGAAATTCCAAAGGGGCGGGCAAAGAGGTGGGGCTTGGTGCGTCTTTCCCGCGCTTGGCGCGCCCCTCTACGTTTTACGTAGTTTTCTGGGACTTGGCTGGAGCCGCGGTTGAGAGGCTTTCTGCGGCCGCGCTATTTTCTGACGTCTCCTTTTCTCATTGGCCAGAAGCTGTGGCTACAGTTCGGCAGCCTTACTGGCTGCCTGCGCCGCCTAGGAGGTGAAGTGTACCGCGCTGATTGGTTCCCCGGTGCCGGCCGCGTGTGATGTCCGGAGCAGCAATTGGCCCTCGCTTGCTCGGGGCTTCTCTCACGGGGACCGGGGACTCCCGGGAAGTGGACCGGCAGAGGAGTGGGCAGTCGAGCTCTCTCTGCGGGCTAAGAAGACCCCCCGGCGTGAGGCGGCCTCTTTGGGCCGGGTGGGCTGGCGAGCCGACGCGGCGGCGGAGGAAACTGTGAGGCGCGTGCGGGACCGCGGCCGGCAGAGGAACCATGGCCCCGCAGAATCTGAGCACCTTCTGCCTGTTGCTGCTGTACCTCATTGGGGCCGTGATCGCCGGGTGAGGAGGAGGCACCGGCGGGCAGGGCGCCGGAGGTCTTTGCTGGGAAGGAGGCAGGCGGTCGTGGATGAGGGAGGGGGAAGTTGGGGACGCGGCTTGGCCGGACTGAGGGGCGTGGAAAAGAACGGAAGAGTGGGTAGTGTGGACTGGGCTGGCGGCGTGTGACACTTCAGACCCAGAAGAGTGCTAAACACGACATTTGGAAGGAGTTTAGGAACAAGAAGGTGGTTGTGAGCGGAAGGAGTGTCACGTAATTCTGGGGAAGGAACGTTGGGGGCAACTCAGTGCCAGGCCAAGGATGAGGCTACGGTCACATTTTTGATTGAAGGAGGTGGGTCTCTGTCCTGAGGAGCTTGGAGAAGAGGGACAGTGCATCCCTGACCCTGTGACGAGCCATCGAGGGGCTAACATTAAAATGGGTGGGTTATAGGGTCAAACTAAACGAGGAAAACCGGTGGGGAAGCCAGGCTGGGACTAAGAGATTGGGACTGAGGGAACAACATAACCTGTTAGAAAACCCATGTGCTAACCAGTTCCTTGTTTTGGTTTTTATTTTGGGTCCGGTCGTGGGCCTGAACTCTGAGCCTGGGTGCTGCCCCTCAGCTCTTCAGCTCAAGGCTAGTGCTCTACCACCTTCCGGCTTGTTTTTTTGCTTATGGGTGCTGAGGAATCGAACCCAGGGCCTCAAGCATGCAAGGCAAGCGCTTTACCACCGAGCCACCTTCTCAGCCCCTAACCAGTTCCTTGTACTGTTGACCCTAACGGTAGTCCTGCTTCACTGTCTCTCTCCATGGTACTTTCTGGAAAAGCAGAATGGTTGGACTGAGAAGAGCAGTACACCAACAGGTAGTGAACTAAGATTCTGGCCTCCACCTTCCCACCCCATTTATTGACCCATATAAATTCTCATCCTTAATATGGGCATAATATTGTGCCACCTTTATTCGGGGAGTGGAAACAAATCAACTCTTGAGGATTCTGCCGTACTATAAATTCATGATCTTTTTTATATATATATATATATTTTTTTTTTTATATATTTTTTTTAAATGTTCTTTTTTTTGTTGTTAGTGGTTGTGGTGGAGGTCATGGGGCCTGAACTCTGGGCTTGGGTGCTGTCCCTCAGCTCTTCAGCTCAAGGCTAACACCCTACCACTTGAGCCACAGCTCCACTTCTGGCTTTTTCTGCTTATGTAGTGCTAAGGAATCAAACCCAGGGCCTCATGCATGCAGGCAAGCACTCTGCCACTGAGCCAACTTCCCAGCCCCTAAATTCATGTTCTTATCATACTGATCACCTAGGATGAGATATGGTAGGCTTGTGCTTTTGGATACAAGAAATAGCAGTTCTCAGTTTCTGACAATTCATGGGTTCTAAATAGGCAAGGTACTCCTGGTATAATTTTAAAATGTTAAGAACTTGAAAGGATTTTTTTTTTTGGCTTTTGCAAATAGCTTAAAGTTGTCCCTTTTTCCATATAAATTTCTAAATAGTTAACATCTTCTAGATAATTTCTTTTTTCTATTATGTTTTGTAGCAATACACTTTCAGCACAAGTACTCTAAGGCATTTAATAAAACATCAATATAAATATTTTAATACTGGGGCTGGGAAGGTGGCTCAGTGGTAGAGCGCTCGCCTTGCATGCTTAAGGCCCTGGGTTCGATTCCTCAGCACCGCATAAGCAGAAAAAAAGCCGGAAGTGGCGCTGTGGCTCAAGTGGTAGAGTGCTAGCCTTGAGCTGAAGAGCTGAGGGACAGCACCCAGGCCAAGAGTTCAGGCCACACGACCGGACCCCCCCTCCCAAAAAAAAAAAATTTAATACTGTTGCTTTAGATTTCATAATACTCATAAATGAGTACTTTGGGGACAGTAACAGTGATGATGAGCTATGCCAGCCATATTTTTCCTATATTTTTCTGAGCTGTTGCTTAGCTACTTTTGCGTCTTAAGCCTCACTCTGCATAGTTGGTCTGTTTGTTATTTAGTTCCTATCTAAAGAATATCTAGACTTTATAGAATTTTTAAAATAATTTTTAAGCCTTATCCATGAAATAATTGAACAATTTTTTTCTCCTAAAGTCTGACTAAAAGCTTATAAAATAGATTTTCAAATATTCTGCCATATAACACTTCAGTCTTGGTACCTTAGTGCATCATATTTCCCAGTCCATTTTAAAAAGTATAATTTTATTATCAAGGTGTTGTAAAGACGAGATACTATTTCATAAGTCAGGTAATGAGTACAATCCTTTTTGGACTATGTCACTCCATCCTTTGCTTTTCCCCAGTTTCCCACTCCTGTCCTTGCCCACAAGTTACATAGTTTATTTTCCACGATGAATACTGAATGGCATGATAACATGTGTTCACCCTTCCTCCTTTCCTCCTTTGTCCCCCCAAAAAAAAAAAAAAAAAAAACTACCCAATACATTTTTAAATTACCATTGCTACTAAATGAATGCCTCTATTGTGTAACTTTCCATTTCTCAGTTCTGAAAGTATTTTCAGAAAAAAAAATCAGACAGCTAAAATTACTCTGGCAAAGGAATAGTTTTTATTTGTTTTTTTTTTGTTTTGTTTTATTGAGGGGGAGGAGATTGTTGATACTGGAGCTTGAACACAGAACTTGGGTCCTGTCCTCAGTTTTTGTTTTTTTCTTTTTTTAAATTTTTTATTGTTATTATAAAGGTAATGTAAAGAGGGGTTACAGTTACTTAAGTCAGGTAAAGATATCCTCAGTTTTTTTTGATAGAGGCTGGCACCCTGCCAGTCTATCCACAATTCTACGATGGCTTTTTGTTGGTTAATTGTAGATCAGATTCTCATAAACTTTCCTGCTCAGGCTGGCTTTGAACTGAGATCCTAAGATCTCTGTTTTCTGAGTATATTACAGGTATGAACCACCACCTCCTAGCAGGGATTTTTTTTTTAAATGAATGTTCTTACTTGTGAATTTCATTTAGTATTTGTTCTCTTCAATGGTTAGATATGGTCCCTGTCCTGAAATTTTATTATAGTCTTATTCTGTTTTCCCACTGCTATTTCTTGCAGAGATCCACGTTATGATTAGTTTTATTCCAGCATTGTCTCTGGCAAAGGGGGTCAGTGGACCTTTGTCTCCCAGTTTGTTCCTGTGCATATTTATAGCTACTGAGACAGACCAGTTCCTGCATGTGGGTTTAAGAAGCTATCTATAGTAAAAACTTGATCTAGATAAACTAGTCTACTGGAAGTGAATGCAAGATTGATACTTTCCCTTCTCTTTCAGAAACAATCACCACCACAATCCATTCATCCAAGCATATGTTACTCTCTTTCAGTAATTGCTTGAACTTCACTTAACCATTCATTTTTAACCTCTGAAGTTAACTTCAGTCACTTCATCTTTAATATTCCAAAAGTTCTACTTTTAGGACATTTATGGGACATAATCCTTTTGAATAAAGGAAATTACCATTTGAGATTGTTACTTGACCTTTGGAAACAGTCAAAAGTCATTTGGAGCCAGTACAGAAAAAAGAGGGAGTGTGAGTGGATTATATGGTTATTGCTTGAAAGTAACAAATAACATGTGACCATAAAGTAAGAAAAATTTTTTTTAACAGTACTTAGGGTTTAAACTCAAGGTTTTGAGCTTGTTAGGCAAGCAGTCTACCACTTGAGTCATGTCCTGGCCCAGGAATGGTTTCTTGGCTGAAGATATTCTAGAAGAATGCCACACTATTTAGAATTACTCAATGTAAGGAATATATATGCTCTTACTCTGAATTCTTCAACATATAACAAAATCTGTATGTTCGCTTTTTTAGTCTTTTTTTTTTTTTTTTTTTTTGGTATGTGCTTGAATGTGTCACACCATTTTTGTATTTCTTTGCTCAGGCATAGACTTAAATATAAAAGGGGGAAATTACCTTTCACTTTTAAAACTGTGAAGTACAACTCTAATTGAGGCTTTTTCCCATTCCTAGACGAGATTTCTATAAGATCTTGGGGGTCCCTCGCAGTGCCTCCATTAAAGATATCAAAAAGGCCTACAGAAAATTAGCCCTGCAGCTTCACCCTGACCGGAACCCTGATGACCCACAAGCCCAAGAGAAATTCCAGGATTTAGGTGCTGCTTATGAGGTAAGTCAAGGAAAGGAAAAAAGTACAGCCAAGGCACCTGGATACAGAAAAAAGCATACAGTGCACACACTTCTTTCAGATCACTTTTATTAAAAGAAGACAGTTGATAAAAGTACCAATAATTCTTGCTGCTTATAGTACTAGATACTACATTCATGTCAGAA